TGCTGCGCCTGCCACGAAATCTGCACTTCAAGGTTCACCAAGTGCTGTGCCTGCCACGAAATCTGCGCTTCGAGGTTCACAAAGCGCTGTACCTGTCACGAAATCTGCACTTCGAGGTTCACAAAGTGCTGCGCCTGCCACGAAATCTGCACTTCGAGGTTCACCAAGTGCTGCGCCTGCCACGAAATCTGCAAAGGAGCCACATGGCCAAAAGTCACGATTCACTGCACCTGTCACGAAAACTGAGCTCCTCGACGATCACCACCATGTCCAAAGTGCTGCGCCTGCCACGAAAACTGTACTTCCAAGTAAAGCAGCTCCGATCCCTTGCACCTGTCACGAAAAGTCGGCTTTGAAGCACTAAGGCACGAGGTTTCCCTTGCGCCTGCCACGAAAAATTACCACCATGTGCGAAAATGCGCACGGCGCCACAACGAGAGCGCAGTCGTCAGAAGCACCTGCCGCCGGCCCCCAGATTCTGCGAGCCTGCGCAGTCGAAATGCACTTCCAGGATTTCGAGAGGCATGAATGTACTGTAAATAGCAGCAAATTAGCCGGACACGCCCGCGCGGAACAGCGATCTCAGCACACCTGCTTTTCACTTACCGTAAGAACCCCTCAGCGCCCACAGTGTTTGGGGAACAAAAACAAAAGCGGAATGGCAGTGATATGGCTGGGATGAAAACATGTCAAGTGCACAATGTTTGAAGGAGCAGGGTCAATCTGGAAAGCATTGCTGACGAACTTGAAGCCGCCATTGTCGTCCTGCAAGGTCAACAGCCAAGACATTCAATCTCAACCCTTTCCAACCGTATGCTACTCGCATTTGCTTACCAAAGGGCACAGCAAAGGAACAAGGGCATGGCAGAACATCGTACAAAGTCTTTAGTCTAAATCCTATCTATCAACTTGAGGAAGATGTTGGGAAGATATCATTCAACAAATCCTGAGGATTGAACAACCCTGCAATCTTCTCCCTAAAGTCCTGTTCCCAAAAAGGGACACGCCATGACAAGGAAATGTCTTGCATAGTGGACTCACCCTTGATAACATTTTTAGTTTGGGGCATGGCTTTTCGTCAATAAAAGTTCTTCCTACACCTGACAAAAGGGCACAGCAAAGGAACAAGGGCATGGCAGAAAACATACAAAGTCTTTAGTCTCAAACATCTCTATCAATTTAAGGAAGACTATTGGAAGATATCTTTCAACAAATCCTGAACACTGAGCAACCCTGCAATCTTCTCCCTAAAAGTTCTGAACCCTACCAAGAACAAAACAACTCAAAACAACACAGTGTTTTATCTTGCACGGTGGACTTGCCCTCAATCACGCTTTTAGTTTGGGGCATGGCTTTTCGTCAATCAAAGTTCTTCCTACACCTGACAAAAGGGCACAGCAAAGGAACAAGGGCATGGCAGAAAACATACAAAGTCTTTAGTCCAAATCCTTTCTATCAATTTAGGGAAGATTATTCGAATTCAGAATACATGTTGAACAAATCCTGAGGAATGAACAACCCTGCAATCTTCTCCCAAAAAGTGCTGGGCTGTGTCAAGAACATTAAATGACACGGTATGACAAGGTATTATGTTGCATAGCGGGCTTGCCCACAATCAGCATCGCGTGAACACCCTCAGCCTATATTGTGAACAACAAAAGCTCAATCAGACCATTTCTATCCCTCTGTTTCGCTTGCAGGATTTTTGAACTTGGGGTGGGGAGCGGTCCTGAACGGAGAAGGAGCGTATACCAAAGGAATTCTTAAGATGAGCTGTTTCAGTGTGACTCTTGTCAGTCCTGCTGCAGTTGCCTCACCCAAACGGCTCTGTTCTGGGTTGGAGAGGTTGCACCTCGCAGGGCACGAAGATGACAAGTTGGGTCTACTTTGCAAGGTCTTACTTCAGAACTCCAGAGAAGACTAAACCAAAGAAATCTACAAATCTACAACAATAAAGCACGGTCGTCATCTGGGAATGCTCATTGAATGCGTGCGTCGATGCAAACCCATGCTATTTGAAGAGTAGTGATTTGTTGTTTGTTAGTCAGTTACCGACACACAAGATTTGTGCTATTCAAACTTTGGGAACTATCGGCTTAGAAATGGAATGAAATGGGTAAAGCTGTTTTGCAAAGGATTTTTAAGTTTAGACAACTCGAATACTGTAATGCTCTCTACCCATCCAGCATGAACACCAAGAACCAATACATAGATTTGCAAAGATGTTCACAGATGACAGGTAGGACAAAAACATCCCGCCGGGCTCGTTTCCGCGCGTGCGGTTGAAGACATTTGTCAAATCTTCACGTGGTCAATGATGACGAATGTCCGGTGTGTGACTGTGTTTTGCATTGATGTGAAAGGTTTGTTGCAGCATGTAGTACATGAAAACAACTCAATAACCGTTGCGATTTTGACATCGAAATGCTACGAGGCTGTGGTTTCGTGCCAAAAAAGGGCGCGGTTTTTCATCCTCCAGCATCATCATCACAGTCTGTGGGACAACTTCTGACCCAGCTTCGTCAGAAGATCGTCTTTATTCTGGTGCCAGCGCCATTGCCACTGTCGAATGAACTTCATGACGTTTGGGTTTATACCGTCACCTTCACGTGAACGCAAGCTAGCGGGGACCGACTCCTTACACAAACGCCACATACCATCAATGGCACCTGTGTGGATGAGCAGCTCTCCTGACCTCAAGCATCTGACAATCCCCCGAACGGAAAAACTTCGGAATAAGCAAGCAGTCGGTAACCACCACGCCAGGTTTCCATGCGTCGACGGCTAAAAAAAGAACTGACACACCCCGACCACCTGTGCGTACCGACCTGTCTGTGTGTGTGTCTGGCTTTATCTTCGTATACACTATGATGCAACGCCTTTAGCCCCCTACCCAACCCCCCCCTGTGTTTTGTAGGGTCCTAGGTTTTCCTAGGCATGTCTACGCTATACTATACGTGTGTAGCACCTTTTGTCCGTAGTTACTTGTACATACATTCTCTTCAGTCAGCAGCCGCTTAATTCATTTGGCTCAAGCCCCCCAATACCTGCAGGGTCTTACTTGGTGTTTTCGATCAGGTCCAGTGTACTTCACTGCCACATGCTGCCACTTTGGGGAACCTACCCCTCACCCCCACCCCCTCTTCCACAGCGTGTGCGTGTGTGGCTTCCTAATAAAAATGCACACAACATGAACATCACTAGCCCCCCACCCAACCCCCCCTCCCCCTAACCACCCCGTTTCCCCATCTTCCATATTCCAATGCGTGTGTTTGTGTGTTCTTGCCCCCCCCCCAAAGGACTGTATGAAAAATCAGTTTCACTACACGCGCGGTTTTAAGCCCATTAGCAAAAACATGACAATCAAAACGGCAAGAGTTGGAGTCTTCCCGCTTGTGCCAAGGCACGCAGGGCCACTGGCGTTTCGTTGAAGTCCAAATAGTTGCTCATTGCTATTGGCTTCCATCCCCCATAAGCATCTGGTATCGAGCAGCTTGAAAGAAACTTCTCTACACCGACGGCTTCAGGTGGGATGGTTCGACCTTCCAGCAAATAGCCGAGGTATTCACGCGCCTGTTCCTTCGCCCACCTGTATTCTTCTGGCGCTTCTTGTTCTGCAGATACTCGCGATCTCTCACCATTCAGACTACCAATCTTCATCGCTAAGGCTTCTGACTGAGTAACTACAATCAAGTGATGTCCGGACTCGTGGGCTGCTTTCAGCAAAGAAATCCATTCAGTCCTCGACTTATGGAAGTCTTCATCCTCTTCGACGCCGTTATCAAAAACCATGTTCATGCTTACACCAGCTTGCGCGAGGGCTGGAAAAACCATGCGGGCAACGCTAACAACCAAATCGAACCTGGTGACCCTGAAGAATCTCATCATTTCCGCGCGAAAGCCACCATCAAGCAGCACTGAGTAATTCTTGGACACTGTGCCAGCTGGCAGTGCCCTCAATGATGCGATGGACTTGCCCACCCCAGGCTCAGCATGCACAGCCGTGCACCCTGATCGATTGACAGCCAGAACTTTTGTCATCAGCTTCTGGAATGGGGTATCATCTACTACCCTCGTACCCAGATTGGCTTGCCGCTGAGAACTGACCCCCAGACTGAAATTGTTCTGTTGTTGTCTACGGCATGCGCGATCTCTTTGCATAGTTTTTCCACATGCTTCAAGACTTCAGATTCGCTGCTTTTGTCGACCTCGAGCATCAACTCTGCTCCGGGCGTCACTGACGACCACTTTCGAAGCAAATCACCAAACTGCCCCAGTTTGTTTATATTCTCCACCGCTGCAAAGCCAGCGGCGATGGCTGCTGGTATGCTCTCTGCTCCAGGAACGGCGTAGCGCACATGGCTACAACCTGCTGGGTGTGGCGTGTATCGAGCGCCAGGCTGAACAAAACAACGAAGATTGAAGAAATGCGATGTCGCAGTGAGAGTCAAAACCAAGGCAGCCATTGCTCGGCTTCTCGGACGGGACATGGTTCAGACAGATTTCAAAGATCAAACAATCAAAAAAACAAACGGGGCGCTTTCACAGGTTGCGTTGAGCTACTCTGACAGCTAGGACTGAAGCCTGGTTCTTTCGTTTGCTGAATGCCAGTGATATATTTGCTGCGATCATGCTACGGCCAAGGGACAAATGCTGCGCACGAGCAACTGCATGCCACAAGAAAATTAGCCCTCATGCAAGCTATGCTAGTCCCATGTTAAAATGTAACTGACTGCTGTGGCATGTTTGTCCAGCAGTTGGGTTGCAGAGTCAAACACTGAACGGTGCTGGAATATCCAGGTTTCAGAAACACACATGTGACATGTGTTTGTTCCGTGGTGTTTCTCTTCGGTGGGCTGGCATCATTGCACCGCTCACAACAAGCTTGCCGTTCTTGGTGGTTTGTCTGGTTTTATATTTCCGCCGCACATCGTGAGCAGGGTAGTTTGCAAAGGATCTGCGCAAGCAAACATATGCATGCTGTTGTCTTGAGGAACTAGCATGCTTGCCGCATAACAGTATCCTGCTTTATGTCATACTGTATGTTGTTTGAATGTCATGGAACACTGGCTTCACCTTTCCATGAAACTTAGCCCAACACCTTCAGATATAATCGAACTCAATGTCAAAAACTTGTTTGTAGATAAAACAAAGGTGAACATGAATAGAACCCCTCGTTTTTGAACCAGTAGTCAGGAACAGTTCAAGACCATGCCGAAAAACCTTATCTTTCTATATCTTTCTCTGATGAGCTGAACACCTCATCAACTGGTTTTGCTTTGTCGGCGCTTGCGCACTTTCCGTGTCAGCGATTTGGGTTTGAATATTTGGCTTGGGATAAGCATGCAGGGGTTTCGGTAAAAATCTGGTTCCGATTTGGGGAAAAATTGGTTCGGTTGTCGTGGAACTTGGCTCGGGTCTTGGCGAAAAGGGGCTCCGTGTTTGGGAAGAACTGGCTCGATTTTTGGGAAAATCTGACTCGGTTCTTGGGAAAATCTGTCACTGATTTTGGGGAAATCTGCCACCAATTTTGCGAAGCTCCGTTTTTGGCAAAAGCATGTGCCGTTTTTAGAAAAACAGGCTCCGTTTTGGGAAAAACAGCCGGATCTTTGTGGCCATTTTGAAGCCTACATAGCTTAAAACCATCGATATTTACAGGGTTTTGTGCCGGGAAGGCGCACAAAACCATGTAAATACCGTCGTTTTTTGCCATGTTGAAGCCTCCAAAAGCCGAAAAAATACCTTTCCGACACAACCTGTCCTGGTTTAGCCATTTTTCGACCATGTTTGAAGCCTAGACACCTCAAAAACCATCGGTTTTTATGAGTTTTTTTGCCGAAAAGCCACAAAAAACATGTAAATAGCGTGGTTTGAGGCCACTCTTGAAGACTGGAGGAGCTGAACACACTGGTGTTTACGGTGTTTTGTGGCCACTTTGAAGCGTACATAGCTTAAAACATCTTAAAACCATCGATATTTACATGGTTTTGTGGCAGGAAGGCGCACAAAGCCGTGTAAAACCATCATTTTTTGCGATTTAGACGCCAGGCTGAAGACTGCCAACGCCACGCAGCAGCGGTAGGAGTGCAGCGCTCATCAGTGCAGTGTCTCATATGTGAAGCAATTCCGCTCCGAGCTTTCGACGTACGTTTTAAACTTGGTGACACATGAGACGCTTTGTCAAGCCCCTTTCACTCTGACACTCTGACTTTGTCGTTGCAGAGTGTGTAGATCGCTCATTTATTGATTCATCTGAGTAGGCAATTCCTGTGTGGAAAGCTACAGCAAAGGCTAGAAGTACGAGTGAACAGAGCATGAGCGCTCAGAACAGAGTATGAGGGCTCAGCAAGTGATTCTGTCAAACATGTTGATAAACATCAGCAAAGTTGGTGTTCAGCGATCTCTCAAAGGAACCGTCGCATTACCTCCATTGTGCCTGTGCAAGCACAGCCTGATCCTGCAGCACATTGAAACAGTACATGATGAACCGTACATAGTTTGCTACGATCGCCAGCTTGCATGAGCTGCTAACACAACTTCCGTCTTTTGAAGAGAAAGAATGGAATTGAATTATATATGTGAAGTCCAAACTCTGCAAATCTCTGCGACATGCGCACCTTATCTGTGGTGGTGAGATATCATCCCGTTGAGACCAAGAATATCGACATCTTCAGGGACTTCAGGGGTGTTTGTCTTCCCGTCTTGTGATTGAATGTCACAAAAGTTCAAGGAAATCGATTGCTTCTTCTCTTTGTGACATCTGCCAGTTTTGCCCACTCCTGAGGCCATGGCAAAAGGCACGCAGCTACTCTTGAGCCAAAGCGCAGTCCTTTGTCCAAAGCTGCACTCACTGCATTTGACAGCGCAAACAGTGCGTGATCAGCTCCCAAAAGGCTACGTTGGTGAACTCTAAAGCTTCTCCGTGTGGCCATAAGACCGACGCGCTTGGATGTCAAGCTCAGCAAATAAGGCAGAAAGGCAACCAACACTAGTAACACTAGTATTGTCTTACAAGAATAGTGGTTCCAGACACAAACTCAGGATGAAGGAACTCGGGCTGAAAGCAAGGTACATGTTGTTTAAGTCAAAAAACAACCCATGCTTGGCCCTCACTGTCATTCCTTTTTGTCCAATCAATTGTCTGGCAAATATGGAAACTTTTTGTCCCATTGATCTTTGGCCAGTTCACGACCTGGGGCAAAGGTCTCAAAGCGCCTACTGTAGCCCAACTAGCGATGGCCTCCAACCTAAGCCTTCATTAAGTCCTGGGTATGCGACGGTAAACCTGATACTCTTTCGTTTCCTCCTGGTCGATCTTGTGGAAAACACCCTGAAGCAAGAAAGTCAAGAAACATCAAACCCGACCCTAACCCTCCCTTAGTACAGTGTACCTGCAAAGGGAGGGGACGGAAGCCTGGTCAAAAAATTAATGAGCTCTTCTCACTTCATGGACGTCGCCGAGGATAGCTTTCAATGATGCTGGAAATTACCAGCGCACAGAATCAATCAAAGCTCGATGCAAAACAATAACAATAGCATCGCCCCCATCCACCCAACTGACGTTCATGCGGAAAATGAAGATGCTACGATAGTTCGAGTTTAGAATAGCTTTGGCGTTGCGATGTGCTCCAGTGTAAAAGAAGTGCTCAGACTGTCAAGGGCTTAAGATGGCTCTTGAACCTGACTCGGTGCCCTTATGTGCCCTTACCTCTGTCAGGAGAACGCAGGACACGCGCATATTGCTGAAGCAATACTGCCATGTCACTGTCTTTAAGTTGATGTTTTTTCTCAGGAGATTCCTGTGACTGATTTCCCGTGCCCAGTAAGCCAACACAAAAACGATGTACGCCTCGCCGGGTGCCAGCTTTGTGCAGGGCTTCAGAATCAACAGATCACCGCCTGGAATGCAGAGCTAGAGCTAAGGAAAAATCTCAAGTAGCAGGCTCTTGTGCATTTATGATCAGAATCATAGCCATCTCGTACGCATCTCAGCTTTCATGCTCTTCTTCCAATGTCTTCCAATCACCATACAAATGTTTTTGGTCCTTAAGGATGCTAGAAGGTTGGAGGCCATTTAAGGTACGTTTGGAGCTGCTCAAACCCGAACCTGAGGTCGCAATGCAATCGCTTTCGCCCTTTTGTAGACGGCCATCCTGGTGTGAGGCATCTCTTTGTTCACCTATTAATTCGATACAAAAGGAACGATTCCAGAGTGATTTGATGCAATTCGATGTAATTCGTAATTGTTGCACAGTCTTTAGATTCATTCTATGCTTTAGAATGAACATGTCTCCCTAGTGAATAGTAGCACTCAGAAGTTCCTTTTCTGCTTTCGGTTTACCGAGAAGGCGTCCTCACGGAGGTAGTACTGTTGGTTCAAGTTGCGGCCCATCCTGAGCCGAGCGGAGGCTATTTGGGCTCTGCTCCACTCACTAACAGCACCCCAAACAACGAGAAATTTCACGAGGTCGATCCCAGGTTTTTCAGCAGTCGTTTGTCAATCTTTTCATTGTGCCGAAAGGAACACTGAGCACTATCAGAACAAAAACGTACGAGAAAAAACACTATCTAGAGCACGAAAAAAACCACGAGAAAAGACATGATCTCATATTCGGTGCCGCCAAGCTAGGGACCAAACACGTCACAGGCATATAGATGAATTCCATTCTGACAGATTTCAAGCACAAATCCAGGTTCCAATCCAGCAAAGTAATGTAACATGTCCAAAGCCAACATGGCCACACCATTGAGCATCGTTGCGAATTCATGGCCGTCTGCCAATTGAAACCACACCTTGCCTTGTCAAAGAAGTCGAAGCAGTTGTTAGTACCTCAAGTATGTCAGCTAGGCTTTCGAAACATTGGCAGTTTCACAATGGCATGTGAAATTCAGCAGCTCTCAACATCGGTTCTCTGAAGGAAGGTTGCATATTGCTGCTGAGGTGCGGTGAACACGAAACCCAGAACAGCACTTGTCCGTTTGCCTGTTGGTCATTGCTAGACTTGGTGAGATTCTCAACCACCAGAAGTCTCAGAAGGTTTCCTTGTGAAAAGAAGTATACAGTATATAATAGTAATAGTGTATATATATATGTGTGAACTGTGATGAGCACATGGTCGGACGCCATGTCTAGCGGAACCTTTAGGCTGGAGCGTAGAAAGGCGCCGCTGCGATGCCCCTGGTGGGGCGACCGCACCGACATTGGTAGCGGAGCCCCACCAGGGGCTCGCAGTGAGTGTCACTGGGTAGTAGTGCACCCGCTGCCATGAGTGAAGACAAGGGTCATCGCCGCTTTGACGGTGAGGGCGATGACCCGGGTAAGGCGTTGAAAAAGTGGAAGACATGGGCCCAGGCCAAACTGGTTACGTTGAAAGACATCAAACCTGAACAAAGGGGGCCATGGATCCTGACGCTTCTAGATGGTCGTGCCTGGGATGCTTGTGAGCACCTGACCTTAGATGACCTTGCAGTGTCAGGTGGTGACAAAAAGATCTGGGAAGTGTTGCAGAAACGATTTCCAGAAAAAGAGGCCCATGACTTGCTAGGAGAATCGCTGGGCGAAGTGTTTGCACTGTCAGCCAACGAAGCCGAGTCCATCAAGCAGTGGACGGCTCGAGCTCGAGAAGTGTTTGACAGATGCGAGAGACGAGCGGGAGTGGCTTTTCCAGCTGCCGCTCAGGGCTGGATTACGTTGAACTGTGCAGGCTTGACTGAGGAACAGAAGGCCATAGTGAAGGCCAAGACACAAGGCAGCTTAGACTACGAAGCCGTGGCCGCTGCCATGAGGTCATGTTTTCCTTTGTACAAAGCAACAGCCAGTCGCAGAAAGCCAGTTGGAGCTCTGCAAGTCGACGTTATGACTGACGAGTTCGAAGCTGCACCAGAGATGTCCTACACGGACGATGCTTACTTGCAAGAAGTTGAGGCCTTCATCGCCGAACATGAGCGCGAGACCACTACAGAAGAGGCTGTGTTCACTGAACAAGAGGCAGCCGAAGCCCTCGCTGTGACTTGGAAAGAGCGTCGCAAGGAGATAGCAAAGGTGCAGAAGAGTCGACAATTCGGTTCTCATGGCACTTCCAAAAGGCAGTTCAAAGTAGAAGTAGAAGAGCTGAAAAAGCGAACCAAATGCAATCGCTGTGGCAAAGTAGGCCACTGGGCCAGAGAGTGCAGGCAGCCACCAAGTGCGAAAGAAGCTTCTTCTTCGAGCACTCCTCCCGTGGCAGCCAACTATGTTGAGAGCTCAGAGCCAACCACTGAGGCTGGATATGGAGTGGAGCCAACCTTTGTGGGACATGTGATGACCACGGTGTTTAGCGCTGGCCTGATTTCCTCACCGGGCTTTGGAGTACTGGACAGTGGGTGCGGACGCGCCTTGATCGGAGAAGAAACTCTCAAACAGCTTGAACCCATGATCAAGGCTCGAGGGTTTGGTTCTGTGCAGTACTATGAGTCTGAGAATGTGTTCAGGTTCGGAAATGGAGCAACGGAAGTGGCAAAACGTGCATGCCGCTTACCTGTCGGGATCGCAAACAAGTTTGGCTTGATTGACGCAGCCATTATTGCGGGCTCAGCTCCTCTTTTGCTTGGACGACCAACGTTGGAAAAGATGGCTGTGAAACTGGATTTCGCTCAAGGACAGATGGAGCTTCTCGGCTGCACGACCGATCTCAAGACCAATGAGGCTGGTCAGCTGCTGGTGGATGTCCTAGCGTATCCAGCGAGAGAAACAGCTACCCCGAAGCCTCGGGGTGATCAACACGACAGAGACACAGCTCGTTCTACAGAGGACGACCAGCAGAAAGTTGAACAGAAGGCGCAGGGCTCAAGTCAAAAACAGAAGACAAAAATCACACTGAAAAAGAAAGAGTGTAGATGTTTGCTTGCTCAGATGAAACGTGTTTCCCAGACCGAAGATGCTGGTATCATGGTTGCTGAGTTATTTTCTCCTCCTCGTTTTTCCACTGAGGCTGTTCGTCAGGGGGGGAAAGGGATAGCATATGATATTAAGCAGGGGTGGGACCTTTCCAAATCAAATGTGAAGTCGCAAGCGGATGCGGAACTCGATCGCGTCCGCCCTCGACTTTTGGTGGCGTGTCCACCATGCACGCATCGAGGCGGGTGGGAGCATTTGAATAGGACCAAGCGGTCTCCTGTCGAGACAGCCTTGCTAATTCGAGCATCTAGAGATCAGGTTCGCTTTGCTCTCCAACAGATTCGCAAGCAGATAAGTCGAGGTGGTGATTTTATCTTTGAGCATCCGTGAGGTTCCGAAGTGTGGGACTATGGGGACATGATCACTCTTCGTAGGAAGTATGGAGTCCGCAGAGTTGACATGTGCGCCTACGGGTTGAAGTGTCCTGACACGGGTATCCCCATCAGAAAAGCCACGGGGATCCTTTCATCCATCAAGGAGTCCACTCATTTCCATCAGTGTCAGGGGGTGAGAAACATCGTTTGGTTGAAGGAAAACTGAACTCAGGACAAAACGTGAGCGACTTTGCAGCAGAGTACACCCCATCTTTCGTTAAGGCCATGTTAAAAGCCTGCCAAGCACAACAACATGTGAGTGTGGTCGACTTTATCGACTTGGCTGAGTGCGAAGGTGCAGAGTGTCTCATTGGTGAGATCGAAGGAGACAGGGCCGGACCAGAGCAAGAAGACGCGGAGGTCATACATGCTGATCACACCCAAGGTACTCCCAGTGTGTTGCGAGCTGTTAGGAAATTGCATGTTAACCTCGGCCATCCACACAACAGGGATTTGGTGCGTATCTTGCAGCATAGTAAGGCTTCTAAAGAAGCTCTGGAGGTAGCAAAGAACTTCACATGTACCGTGTGTAGTAACCATAAGCTTCCGCGTGCATCCCTACCTGCTAAGACTAGTAGAATCATGGAGTTTAACGCGCGAGTTGGGATGGACGTCAAGTACCTCCCCGGCTGGAAACCCAATCAGAGAGTTCCGTGCATCAGCATTGTTGACTATGCATCGTCATTGCACATAATGGCACCCATTTTCCAGAAAGAAAACGCTGAGTTGTTGAAGGGTGTTCTGCGGGACTCCTGGATTGCATGGGCCGGACCCCCAAAGGTTTTGGAATTGGACCCAAGCAGACCAAACCTGAGTGACGCTTTGGGAGAATACTGTGAGGGACTTGGTATAGATCTCCTACACACAGCTGCAGACTCACATTGGCAGCTGGGGAAAGTCGAGAGGCATGGAGGCTGGTTCGAAAAGATATTTTCTCGGGTATGTGAAGAGCATCCACCCAAGAATGCCGAAGAGTTTGTTGACAACGTTCTTCAGACCCAAATAGCCAAAAACACCCTGATTACAGAAGCAGGAGCAAGCCCTTTTCAGATTGTTTTTGGACGCAATCCCCGCATCCCTCAAGATTTGTTGCAAGATGATCCACACTTACCCGCAGTTGACGCCACCGAGAGCGACTCGCCGTTCGATCGGGCACATCTCGCGCGGCAAGCGGCTCGACAAGCGGTGCTGGAATGCCAAGACCACAAGGCCTTGAAGGCGGCCATCCGAGCTCGCCCAAGACTCCGCCAGGACTTCTGCTCAGGTGACTGGGTTTACTACTGGAGATCACAAAAGTGGTCAGACGGGCAGTTGCTAAGGGGAGGTCGTTGGCATGGGGCTGGCATGATTTTGGGTAAGTTGGGGGTGAACTATATTGTTGCGCGCAGACGAAGTTTGTTTCGTTGTTCACCAGAACATCTACGGCATGCAACCTCAGAAGAGAAAACAGTTGCAGATTTTGATGACAACGAATTGCTGGGAATCAAGAACTTGTTGGAAAAGGGACAATTTCCAAAAGGACAGTTTGTTGATTTGGTCAATACCACACTTCCGCCATCCCCAGAAATTTCTGACCGGGCAGAAGGCTGGCATTCCGCGGCACGATCCGCGGCCGATTTGTGGAGTGAAGCGGTCGTGAATGAGACCAAGACTCAAAAGGAAGACTACAATGCAGATGAGACAACACCAGAACATGGGCCGTATTCTCGATTGGGGGGAACGTCTTCCTGGACACCGTTAGGTCGTACAGAGGATTATGGTCCCATCAGACGGGTTCGACACACAGTCAAGTCACCCCCGGAATATCTCTTTCGTCCCATGGAGATGCAACAGGAAGATCTGTCAGAGTTGCTGCAAGAGGTTATTCCTTCGTTGCTAGAGACACCAGAGACCGAGAGCTTCAGTCCCAGAGGCACTAGTAGCAAGAGAGAGGCCAGTGCCGACATTGATGACGGACCACGCACTCGCAGTCGAACTGAACGATATGAGGACGAGGCATTGCTGTGTTCATTTGTTTCTCCAGAAGAGGAGGTTCCAGTGCGAAGTGGCCAGAGTCATGTCGAAGCATTGATAGCAGGATTCTTGCAGAAGCGAGCAGCAAAAGAGATTCCGTCCACTGGCAACCCATCCGACATCCAAGAGAAGGTTAATGGATCCAAGATTACAGAATGGGAGACATTGTCAGGGAAACAAGCTGTTCGTGTGTGGACTGGACAGAAAGCCAAAGAGATCAAAGAGCGTTTTGGACATCGGTTCATTGGCAGTCGTTTTGTTGTGATCAACAAGAAGGATGAGGATGGGGAGCGAGTCAAGAGCCGCTGGCGCCTACAAGGGCACTTGGACCCTGACTTCCAGGAGAAGATCCAGTCAGGGGCTTGCCACAGTCCCACACTTCACCCTTTGTCAAGATCATTGATTTTACAAATTCTAGTTAGCAAGCGATGGACGATGCAGCTAGGAGACATCAAGGGGGCTTTTCTGGAAGCAGGACCTTTGAATCCCAAATTTAGTCCTTTGTATGCGCATCAACCTCCAGGAGGGATCCCAGGACTCAGTCCGGATGATGTGATCGAGGTCACAGGCAACGTCTACGGGTCCAATGACGCCCCTTTCAACTGGTGGTTTAAGTTCGACGAGACTGCAAGAAAGATTGGTTGGGTTCGTTCTCAGTTTGACAACTGTTTATACTACCTTCCGGATCCGTTGAATCAGGGAGCCATGTGTGGTGTGATGGGAGCCCATGTAGACGACACCATCACGGGGGGACACGGGGCAACTTACGATTCAGCAATTCAAGCGTTGAAGACTCATTTCCCGTACAGAAAATGGAGGGTTGGCAATGGTGAATTTTGTGGGGTGCAATATAGCCAAGACATGCGAAGTTTTGAGATCACGTACCATCAAAAAGAATATGCAGAACATCTTCGGGCCATTTCTCTCTCTAAAGAACGGCTGAAGGACAAAGAGTCTCTGGCAACTGACCGGGAGATCTCAGCCTTGAGGGCAATCAACGGAGCATGCAATTGGCTTAGTTCGCAGTCAAGACCAGATCTGTGCGTTCAGACCTCCTTTTCACAACAGAGCTTTCCACAACCTAGAGTTCGGGATTTGTTGTTTGCAAACCAACTGGTGCATCGGGCTAAACAGTTTAGTCATACAGATGTTACAGTGAAGAGCATTCCATGGGAAGATTTGGCTATCTGTTTCCATTCAGATGCAGGTTTTGGTAATGCAAAGCAACACAAGACACAGGCAGGGTTCATTGCAGCTTTTGTGAACAAAAGACTAGTACAGAATGAGGCAGCAAGCTGGTCTCCGTTTGCTTGGCGGTCATACAAATTGCCAAGAGTGGTGGCCTCGACACTAGCTGGGGAGGCACAGGCTTTCACGACAGCTAGTGCTACGGCTGAGTGGATGAGCTTGCTCATAGCAGAAGCAAAGCATGGCAGATTTGATCTTCGGACAACAGAGCAAGTGCAAACACAGCCACGAGTGTCAAATTTGAAATGCCGTGATGAGCTGGACCTAGTTCCTGTCGTGGGTGTCACAGATTGCAAGAGTTTATATGACCATATGATATCCATGTCATCAGTTAGTAAGTGCGAAGATAAAAGGATAGCAATAGACCTTGCAATACTCAAACAGTGCATGTCTCGAACAGGTCTCGTGGTTAGGTGGTGCCCAACACAACTCATGCTCGCAGACGCTCTAACAAAGGACCAGCAGGATCCGGCAGATCTCTTGCGGGCGGCACTGTCCGTGGGGGAATACCAGTTGAATCCTGAAGCCATGATCCTGGAGCTAAAAAAGAACCAACGTCAAGCACGAGTAGCAAGACGGGCATTGCATGAAGCACGAGAAGCAGCACTAAGGAGAAGCAAGCCGAAACAGAAGGGTTCCTAATTCAGTAGGATGGGTTTTTTGTTTAGAGAATAGCAGACTGAGTGCATTTGGACGCCAGTTGAGTTTTCTGTTTGCCAGATTTGTTTTGTGTGATGCAGGACTTCTTTTTGTTTGTTTGGTTGCTTTTGTCGATAGTCACGGTTCGTCCTACTCTGCATGTCCAGGCCGCTCGGATCGTTTCTCTTGTTTTGGGTAAGGGCTGGTGAGCGCCCAGCGCACATTCTGGGGTACGAATGTGAGGGGAAACGCATTGTGGAAATGTGAGCATTTCGTAACACAATATATATACTTTCTTTTGCAGATGCTTTTGCGTTACTCGATGTGATAAAGACATGTGTTTCAATGCATATAATTGAATCTGAGCAATCAAGTGCGAAGAGGGCACAGTTTTCTCGGTGTGATCAGACTCTCCGATTGCCTCCTCAACTCTAGGTGACGTGTCAGCCATGTACCAAAATTTCTCTAAAGAAGAGCTCAAGCAGCTAGTTCGAGCCTTGAACGAGAGCGGTGAATTGGAGCAGCTGCTGCACGAAGCATCCACTTCCACTTCGGCCGACACAGCGCAAGGATCGATGAATGACAGCTCAAAACGCAGATTGACGAGTTCTGTGGTGTCTGCGAAGGAAGAGCTGGATCAGTTTGAGGTGATTGACTCCGACCCCAAAGAAGATGAGTCAAGCACCGGTGCTTCCACGTCAGGTCGGCTACTCTTCTCATGCTGGAACAGAGATCCGCCTGCCTGAAGGTCTTCAGTCACTGAAGCAGTGGGGCTCCACCATTTGTGAGCTACCAAAGGTAGCCAAACGTGAGATGACATACGATATGATGATCACAGAAGCTGACTCGTGTAAAGAAATGAGGGATTACTTGACATGGGTCACCAACAGCGGAGTCAAGTCCTCGAAGATGGATGACATCCGTGCATATTTGAAGGCAGTCCAGTATAGCCCCGGAATTTCCAAGTTCGGAGTGACGTATCCAGGCTCGAAGGAAGCCCGTCGCTTTGGCCATGAAGGCCATTGAAAACTTGGATCATATATAGATTTTGAGGAGTGTGAATTGTGATGAGCACATGGTCGGACGCCATGTCTAGCGGAACCTTTAGGCTGGAGCGTAGAAAGGCGCCGCTGCGATGCCCCTGGTGGGGCGACCGCACCGACATATATATATATATGTTTGATGAATTATGTTTAATTACTGTATAGTTTGCCAGAGCTCTTCCAGGCGTCATGAGCTGGACACTTCTACTGCGAAGTGCTTTGAGGGCATCTTCAACCCGATCCACGGCTGCACATGCTGATTCCTCACAGGAACTGCCTGTCAACGTTGCCAAGCACCAACCGTTGCATCGAACTGCAGGTGCCTCGAACAGACTGTGGCAAATCATTTGACTTACGTTGAGACACTGGTTTATCGTTTAAGTGATATGAAAAGCTGTGAAAGTCCGCAGCTAGATTCAGAGAACAATTGAGAGAACAATTGAAATAAGCTTCACATCATCAAGCCATCTTTGTGCACGTAGATTGTCCATGGAGACTTTATGTTGCGACTTCCATATATGGACGTACAGCAAGGAGGCATGCGACTTTCAGTTGAAACATCTGGTACCTTTGACCTTGGCATGATTTCAAGCTTTTGTTGTTGCCCACAAAAAAAAATCATGTCCAGATTCTTTCGCACAGGAGGCAACATACCTAAGAGACACATTTTTGGGTGCTCTAGCAAATACAAGTAGTCATTGGATCATGACGGGATGTTTCTTGTGCGACTGCAGGTGAGGTATGCTTGAATTATGCAATGATGATAAATCAATCAAAGCGGGTAAGCGGGCAAACAAGTAATCAAGCTGACAAGATTAGAACACATGGCACCTATGTCTTGGTGGAAGCAGCATCTTGCCCTTTGTGCGCATCATACTCGTGGATACACTAACTAAAGTTCCGACCACAAGCTGCTGTGCGACACCGGAGCTTCTTGGAAAGCAGCTAACAACAGGAGCACAGCACCGAATCTGTTAAGTCAAGTACTCGTTCTTTAGATCAAAAACTGCTTACAAGCTACGAAGCCAAGCTCTATGAGGAATTGAATCTGTGGTGGGTGTCAACGTGTATATCCGGGAAGTAACTAAAATGCAATAGGAATGGAAAAGAAGCCTGCTTGCTTAAAGAACGAAGCAGTGAGAAGACTGTTTACACCTGTCACTGATTTCTCCAGCGCCTAGATGCTTGGATGCTTGCAGGCATTTACCGCTCGAAGCCTGTCAAACATGCAAAATGGACGGCATCCAACCTACTAGCGATCATGTCTGATGTCCTCCGTGCTCGCAAGGCTACTTGTGAAACTCACGCACAAACGGCCTCTTGAAGCCTAAAAGACTCCTTGGCCACCACCCCACCTGATGTCCAAATGCATCAAGAGGCCTAGAGCCTAAAGGCGAACACGTTTAAACACAGGCCTTCAAGGTACAGTTTGCGAAAGCGGTAAATGAAGTAGCTGAAGGGCCTGGCACAAGGGACCTAGAATTTGGCCTCAAGTCCTACAAGAATAGGTCCTCCTACAGGAATGCTTCAAGAAACACATCAAGGTCTTCTGTTGCCTCGGTGCCTTTGCTGCTTACCCTGAAAAATTTCTTGTGGAAGCCGAGTCCTCCACATTTCCTGTACGCCTCTTGAGTGTGGCTCCAACTGTCAAACTCAAGACTGCTACCCAGGATGCTGCGCCTGCAATGAAGCCTCAAAGAAGCAGAATGTGCTGCTAGTGGCAAAGCTTGTGACACCGAACAGCACAAACAAAAAGCACAAACGAGAAAAGTCACAAGCATTGTGAACATGCTTCTACGCAACAGTGGTTCCTTGCCTTTGTTTTGCTTGTCTGACTGTCAGCAGTCAAAGACTCAGGTTACTAAACTCTAAAAATCTATGTATTATGTGGGGCCCTATCTCGTTTGGCTTGCTTTGGTAGGAGGTCGTGTCACAGTATCTGGTTCAAAATGTTCAAACTACTTTAGTAGCAAATATTAGCAAATCACATGTCATCGCTGACCTCAAACAGTATCTGATTTATGTGGGGGCCCGATCTCGTTCACCAGCGAATACTGATGTGGGACAAAAATAAAGCATGCCGTGAACTATGTTTGTCAAGACAAAACAATGGTGGTTGCTCATAATATGTGGAAACCTAAGAAATCTTGGACTGCAATGGGTTTGACCACCTTGTGCACGGGGGTTGAAAGCAAAGCAGGCTCACTCCAGCTAAACCATGTTATTGTTTCAGTCGTCGACCCCTGCTCTTGGAATTGGGACTAAAAGTGGCATTGAGCATGGTCAAATCTTTGCTTGGGATCTGGCCGTTCCTTGAAGCTGGCGTAGTTTTGCACCAACGCCTGCCAACTCCGAACAAATGCAATAAGAGATTCAAGAAATGGCATCCCGCCTCATCCACACCGCTACCTTGGAACAAGGACACACAACATTCACCACGTTGTTTTGAATCTCACAGACTACTAGGAGCAAGGACGCTACTAGTAGCTCCTGACAGTGCTACTAGTAGCAAGAAACTACTAGGAACAAAGGGAATCGCTACTAGGAGCAAGGAAGTTACTAAGCACCCCGATGCAACAGGACTGAACCACCTCCTCCCAGAAGCACCTCACGTCACAGGGGACCCTCCTGCACCCCTCCCGCAACTCCCGCAACACCTTTTCCAAACGAAAGTTCTACGAGTACAATGTTCTGCCGTTGCTCCTCACTCATCCATTACCCATACTGGCCCATACTCCCACGATCATGCACGTGCGTTGCAGTTTTCCGTTATTTGGAATTCGTCTGGGTAGGGGCAGCTCGTAAAGACACACACATCATCCAGGAAACATGGAGGTGGGCAAGGGCTCGCTTGGAGGGAGGCCTCACTAGATCAGAGAGGATCATCTTCGGGACGACGGACAGATTCAAAAAAGGGTGCCTTAACAAGTTGACCAGCTTTCCCCAGCAGGACAAACAATTTGAGCACAGGACCAGGAAAATTTGGGGGTCCTGAACTTGAGATGGCACGTGGTGAAGCCCCATGCTTTTCAAAATTGTTGGGCAAGTTGCATCTCCTGCGGGCACCACCACAGATACCACAGGAAACAGATTCCCCACCGTATGGCTGAAACAAATTGCTCGCTGTCAACGGGCCACTTCTTGAGACTTTAGTTACAGTGATTCTTCTAGTAGGTTGGAGGCCATCGCTATTAGCAATAGGCCCTCTTCCTGTTCTTTTTTCTCTTGTTTCTAATAGCGATGGCCTCCCAACCTAATGGGCCACTTCTTGAGACTTTACAAAACTAAGCCGCTCAAGGACACACTAGACGTAGACAAGACACTCAGGGGTAGTGAAGACAAAGACTGACTCAGGGTCGGTCAAGATGACAATCCATGACAATCCACCCAAGGACCTTGAAGACATTTGAGAACAACATCGACGACACTCACTAGGAAATCAATGACGCTCAGGGATATCCTTGAGAGTCTTTGTGTCTCATACAAAAAGCGCATGTCCTACAACCACGATGCATTCTTACGTGCACTGCCTTATATGATTTGTGTTCACTTGTGCAGCTTATATACGCTCATACGCTCTAAACTAAACATCTATGATTAATTTATGCACATCTGTCGTCCATAATGCAAGTGCGAACCTGTGAGCGATGCCTCCAGGGTGCTGCGAGCCACTTCTTTGAATGGCCCAAACCACGCAGCAATCACTCGGCCACGGTTGTTCGTAGCCTTTGCCTGCGCACGAATGGGCATACTTTGGGCATCGTTTGCCTTTCACTTTACTTCACTTGTTGACAAACTCTGTGTGGCTTCACCAAAATCTGTTGTCTATTGGGTGGATTGATCAATGCACTACACTTTGAAGCTGGAGAAGTCACTTTGATTGCACCTTGATGCGATAGTGAGTGGCCTAGGATCGCAGCTAGCCAGCTCAGTCTGGTGTCACAACAACAATCACAATGAACATGCCTAGACTCACAGTTGCCTTTTCCCGTTCTGTGTTGCGAGATATGACATTTGAACCTTTTAATGTGAAAGCACTGCCCTCAAGGGCAAAACAGGTACTCAGATTGTACTCCACGTTTCTGGTTCAAATTTGGCAGTTTGATTGAGGCAATGGACAGTACGTCGGTCACCAGTGCGCCACATATGCGCTACTCGGCTGCTTTTGGCTCGAACAATGTCACCACCACACAGCCAAGCTCTTAGCGACTGGTCCTCAGCCAACGCTGTGACCATAGCTACTAGTAACAAGGTGCATCGCTACTAGGAACAAGTCGCTGTTAGTAGCTAAGTGCCTTACTACTAGTAACAAGAAGCTGCTAGTTCCAAGCATAGCTAGGCACAAGCTCTGAGGCCACGACCAAATTCTCACCACCCCAGCCGTGCATTCCCTCGTCAAAGCCACCAGTGAGGTTGAACCAGCTACGTCCCATAGCGACCAAACCACCGCTGATGGTAGGAATGAAATCTGACTCATCATCGAACCATTTGAAATCGGCATCCTCAGCTTATTCATCTCCACCTTTCCTTCACGGCCAAAAGAGGAAACAAACTGTGTTCCATCTCCGTCATACTTATGTAAATGCTGGCGGTTTTACAGGTCTCCTGGTGGTTGTATTCCATGTTTTCCACATGTTCGACACAAATGTAACAAATGTAAGTGATCTTTTCTGCTCTTGCATAATACACATCGTCTTTTCATTGATGTCATCTCATTGTTTTTGATGCATCTACTTGCTTCGGGACGTTCACAGGGTGGGTGGGTGGGTGGGTGGGTGGTTGGCATTGATGTTTGTTGGCCACGAACGATTATTTTGTTTGGGGTTTGCAGAAAACACGTCTTTGTAGGTTTATCTCATCTATCCTCATGTGGAACTGACACACTCTTCTCGCAACAAGCAACGTAAGCTCAGTTCGGTGACGAGAAAGAACACCAGACACAAAAACTGTTTGACAGGTTGCCAAAGGCAAAGAAGAACAATGTTGGCTCGTTTTTGTCTAGCAAAAAAGAGAATCCACCACCATGTTACGGCAACCTATCAAGCAAACCCATGTTGATGCAAACAGGGCTCGAAAGTCAAGTAGCACTTGGCATTGACCTGCCGAACGAAATGCCAAGCAACCAAAGCAACGCTGGGTCATTGCACAATGGAAGTTGCTCTCTGAAACCACAAGTATCACGTGACGGGAGCCATCAATAGCATGCCACAGAATGCCTGGCTGTCCTTTCTTTCATCAAAAATATCCATGTCAAGGTCAGTAATGGCAGGCACCACCATTCTTCGTGGATTGATTCCTCGGTGATTCAGCTCGCTGAGCTCACTGTAACTGCAAAAGACTGCTTGCAGCAACAACTTCAAGCAGTTCGCTGCCTCCGAATCTCAACAATATCTATTGCATGTAAAACTACATCTTTTTCACTGGTTTAACTTGCAGGTCGAGACGCTAACTTGCTCCAGTATTTCCTCGAGGGAAACGGCGTATATATATATATATATTAAGGCTTTGAACAAAGTCCCTAGTGCTTGGAAAGCACAAATATGTTTATATAAGCTTCATTCAGTTGTAAAATTTTTTCCTTGCTTGGAGGGTGTCCGAATTTAAAGAATATGGGTTTGCAAAACGTTGCAGGCACGCCTTGTGTATGTTTTGATATGTTTTGCCGGCTTTCAACTTCAAGCATCTTCAAGCAAGAAACTATAAGAAACTTCCGGTTTTCTTGCAAATGCTCCGATGTGTAATTACGGCCGGTCGGACTGCGAGTCTCCTGATACCAATTGGCTTGGGGAGCACAGTGGCAGTCGATAAACGCAATGACATCGCCTTTGGCCTCCACAAAAAAGCATGCCTTCACTAGCATTCAGTAACTCATTCAGTAGTACCGCTACCCTGGCTTGAGAGCATCGACAAAATGCATAGCTTGTGATAGCAAAAAACATGTTTAAACAAATAGTACTTTGTCCGTTGTCTTTTTCCAAATCGCCTCGCGGCCACCCGTCAGCTTCGCAGCCATGAGACCCGTCGTCTGATTATGACGAAGGAAACGCACGCGGCAAGCAGGATCCTGTCGCACGAAAGACTGTTCGGATAAGAATTTCCGTTCCTGTTACGCACAAACATAAGAACAATGGCAAGCGTTAGATACGTGTGGCAATAGCATGTTCCTCGGAGCTACCAAAGCGCAAACTCTCCTGATCCAACCTCTTCTCATCTTTCTTGAAGAGACTTTCCAAAGGCGGATCTGATCCATCGTCTACCACAATGATTTCCTGGAAACAATACATGTGTATGGCAAAATGAACCGGACGCTCACCTATGTGCCAAGCAAATGCTTTGTTGATCTTTGTTGTTTCTCCTTGAGCACGTCTGGAGATGTCCTCCTGCAGAAGCGCTCGACCGTCAAAATGGCCTTGGCAAACTGAAAGTTGAGACGCCAGTGGTTTGGTTACGAACTTCGCGGATCTGAGTCTTAGGTACATTGCTCGGTGTCCATTGGCAAGCTGCCCTTATTCCCAGTGTCTGATGCCAAGTGGCATTTTGCCTCTCTTCTGCACAGGGTAAAACTACAGAGATTGTCTCGATGCTTCCTGCAAGCTCAGTGAGCTGGGTCGCGATCTGAACGGACACAATCGGAAGTTCAAAAGGCCCTCTGTGGTGAAGTGGCGTGCCATGGTTAGAACCCTAGTAGCGATGGCCTCCAACCTATTGGCGATGGCCTCCAACCTAAGCCAAGGAATTACAAAATTGGTGCAACCAGCTGCAACCATCACTGGCGCATGTCCTCGATCTGGCATGTGCCCACCGAAGGACTCCTGCGTTCAAATCAAGGCAGGCATGCAGTCTATTCTATTTCATTTTAACATTTCACAATTTGAGCAGCATCCTCAGCTTCTGAATGAGACATTGTAAAGCAGTTGTGATTGCAAATTCTGAAGGAACTTTATGTAGAAGCCGTAACCTTTCTGGTGGCATCGTAACGTGGTGGACAGTCTGGCATGGCTTTCGACTTTGCTCTTCTTGTCTCGGGGAAACAGAGCAAAAAGGGTCTTTGCCTTCTTTTGTTGCATTCCGTGGAACCGCGGTGTTTCGTACTAGCTTCATGATATTTCATGATGGTTCTGCAAAGCACGCAGTTTCCGGCCAGTTCTGTCTCTGTTTATTTTAATTATGTAGCCAGATTTGCTGATCAACAGCAGAAGACGTTTCGAAGAGTTGTAACCAATGATGTCCAACAGGCTGCAAGTCCTGAGAAACTGCTGTGTTGGCACTTTGAGGCTTTAGTTCCCTCAACTCCTTCCCTTAAGACTTCTCCCACTTTCTCTGAGGCACTCCTACCAACTCCAGTCACTCCTCGAGATTCGCATGAGACCCTCCTTCGTGCAAACCTGCATCTGGGCGAGGAAAGTGTCGCACCTGGCAAGGAAACATCGGAAGACTTCTACAGCATACTAGCGTCCTTGGTCCTAGTAGCAATGCCATTTGTTTCTAGTAGCGTCCTAGTAGCGTCCTTGCTCCTGGTAGCGATGCCCTTTGCTCCTACTTGATGCGAAAAGAACGGAATCTGTTCTTTCGGACTTGCCGTCCAAACAGCAACATGCCAAACATACATTCGGATGCATGACTTCTGGCAACAGCGTCACCAGTAGCAGCACCACTTGAGCTGCCCATAGCCTCAGTGAATTCGACTTGACAAGGCTGCAACGCCTAAGAAAAACCACTCAACCACCTAAAAAAGCTTGGGCCAAGCTTCTGAAAGACATTCCGGCTCAAAGTTTGCAGAAATCTCCATCACAGGGAACCAGTCAACTTACTAGAGTATGCTAAACAAACTCCCATATTCGTTCAGGGGTGTCTCATCTTCACTGTCTTTTTTGAGCTTGGGCATCCAGCAGAAGCAGCAGGGGTATGAAGCGCAAGCAAGAACGGCGCTTGCCGAGAATAAACACCTGGATCAAAGAAAAGTGAAGGATGATAGAAACTCAACAGCAAAGTGAAGCCTTCCTAAAAATCTAGGAATCAAATCATTCATGCGAGGGCTTCTTCGAGGAAGCTCCCCGCAGCCCTCAGGCAGGGGGGTCCTTGAAGAAACCTAAGCAGAAAGTGCTTCCAGGCCCAGTGACGGTGCACTTACTAGCTTCTCAAACCCCTCTTATTTGCTACTAGCTTACTCGTAAGCTACTCCTCCTCACGGCCTGCCCCCTCCTAAGAAAAAGGGCTGACACCGAGATGGCCTCCAACCTACTAGCGATGGCCTCCAACCTAGTAGCGAACCGATGGCCTCCACCCTCCAACCTACTGGCGATGGCCTCCAACCTGAGAGCGATGTCCTCCAACCCAAGGGCGATGGCCTCCAACCTAGTAGCGATGGCCTCCAACCTAGTAGCGATGGCCTCCAACCTAGTAGCGATGGCCTCCAACCTAGTAGCGATGGCCTCCAACCTACTAGTGATGGCCTCCAACCTACTAGCGATGGCCTCCAACCTACTAGCGATGGTACTTCATAATCCCCCACCCGGCCTCTATCAACAGGGCTGACACCGAGAGTGGCCACAATGCCAGATGAAGCTTCAGACCAGCACCTGTTGGACCTGACGACGCAATACGAACAAGCATGTTGACGCTGCAGCCATGATTGAACGACACAGAGCTCTTGCACAGAAACAGCTATAAAATAGTATCCCAACGAAACGCGTGGTTGATATTCTGAGCTGCCTCCAATCTGCCATAGTAGAACTGCAACAGGTATGAGAAAGATCAGCAGCTTCCGAAGCATGAACAGGGTCCGGCAGGAGAACAAAATGCCACTGCTTTTGCTATCTGACAAAACTGGAGTGGCAAGCTCCGAAATTGACACGTTCAACCATCAGCACTAAATGGTGTCACTTTTTTTGAACCTTTGAACCAAGGCTGCAGATTTCAACTACTGTGTATGTTGTGCCCAAGGAGGCCTATCGTGAACACCAGCACGCCTCTGTTTGGACCGTTTTGGAAAAGCAGTCTTTATTATTTTTGATGGCGATGCTGAGCTACCACCCACAAGCATCAATAAGCTACATCTTTGGCTCACTATGACCCCTGAGGAAAGTTCACTTCATCCACCATCATTCCTCGAAGAGTGCCAGTGGGAAATCTTCATACATGTGCATCTCTCCGTCTGGCAGGTCTGGATTGAAAAGGACCCCTCGGCCGGCAAATGGGTAGGGCTTCATGTAGGCACCGACCTTGGAATCTCCAGAGTTGTCGGACATGGCATAGCTGTACTTCAAATATACTGCTCCAGATATGCTAGAGTCTGCTGGCTGATTCTGCTCGTCAACAAGCCGAACTTCAGTAGCTGGCAAACCAAGAGCAAGTAACCATCTTTTCAAGGATTCAGATGCTGCCTCTGCATTGGGTGCCATGATGCCCAGCCTTAAGCCTGTCATTTCCTTTCTCAAGCCAAGAATTGCATCTTTCAAGTCTTGCCGATTGTCAATCTCTCCGACAGGTGCAAGTCCAATTGGTGTTCCACCAGCCTTGCAGCGGGCCCGTTCTGAAGCCTCCCAGCTTGTCAAATAGGCTGCAGGCGAGAAGCACCAACTTGACCAAGGACTCTCTCCGCAGAGTCCCAAAATCAATGCACCCACCAGGAAAAGAAGCCGTTCAGTTTGAATTGTCTGTCGAGACATGGCGTTTAGTAGGCGTTTAGCGTGGCGAGGCAAAAAGAGGCCAAAACTGGTTGGGCTATCCGTGGTGGTTTTGTTTGTCTTTAAGTGTCACCCTCGCTCAGAATTGGCTGCCTTTACACACTGTGTCTACAGATTCTTTGTCTTGAGATGTCTTGAGATGAAGCATCGTCTACCTGCAAAAGCTAATATGCTGCAAGGTCCCAGTTTGAGATGGATGGCGGTGCCAAGCCCCGCTCTATTTTGCGGTGTAAACAGCCTCTCATAAATCGACCAAAGTTTGTCAAAGCTGCGCTGGGCTTTTTGCTGAGGCACATTAGGCCATGGGTCTGTGACCCTTGCCACTTTTCAGCAGGGTCGGTTGTGATACATGTGCTTGACCTTAGTGGTGCTGTCTTGCAAAAGCAAAGTATTCTAAAATTAACATATTTGACCATTGTATATATATATACTGTATATATCCGTACATCCAGGAATCAATCAATGTAGCAGCTGCTAGGGTGACAAAGCTGTTGAAGGAGTCACCTTGTGTGTCAGTGCAGAATCTTGGATATCTGTATCGTCTTTGTCCTCTCCATGTGCGAATTTCTCGCTTCAGGACCTAGCATCACTCAGGAGCTTCCAGGCTCTGGAGCTGGTTCCACAAGTCCTTGCAACACAAAAGGTTGCAGGCCATCGCTAGTAGGTTGGATGGACGTGTTGTGATGCCGTTGTGCCGTAGCCTCAGTCGCGTCAGTTCAGTTTCGTCTAGCGTCAGCCCATGACGCGCCTCTGGAGACTCGAGGACCGCAACTGAGGAATGACAAAAAGCCCTCCTGGAAACGCACCAAAATGCAGCAATACTCGGACTCTTCTGAAGCGATTCATGCAAATGCACCTCATCCTCAGTTGCTGTATTTTCCTGGTTTAAACACCACCTGGAAAATACAGCAACGTCATACTTCATAAGGACGTCCTCGTGGCAATGTTCTTTGCATTGCTCTCGGCATGGGCATTTGTCATGAGCATCCTGAGAATAATGAATTTGTTTGAAGCTGGGTAGAGAGAAAGCAGGTTCATTCCAGCAGTTAATGGTCAACAGGGTTCAAACAATTTGGCACCACAAGCCTCCAATGGAACGCCTTCACCTTCACAAAATGGCTTCCAGTCCGGCTCGTCCTCTCCATTTGCCATCCCAAAGATCTGTTCTAAAAGAGCAATGGAATGGCCTTCACTTGGATACAAGTGATACGAAAAGGGAGAGCGAGGAGTGATTCTGCTACATACTGTGGTGTTCTGTCCTCAGTGATGCGGATCTTTGCTCTTGCGGAATCCTCACATGAGAAAGGACGCAGCCAAACCAAGAGCCAGTAGAAAGGTACTGCTACCAGTAGCAATGCCCTTCTTACTAGTAGCTTCTAGTTGCTACTGATTGCTATTCATATAGAAACCGTGCCCAATTCTGCGAAGCAATAGGCCATGTCAAAGGCTTAGATATATTATAGCGTCGCGATGTCCAACAGTCATGCTCGGGCCTTTCCAACAATGAATGACGGTGTGGCCAAAGACTTCTTCTCCGATCTCCATTGCTCCTGGCATCGAGCTAGAAAAGCTCTAAAAGCACCAGTTGTTGTTCTGCTTCTTTGTTCCTTCTCTGTTTCTTCAGACCTGTAGACACTGTCCAAAGAAGGTAACGATGTTGCTTGAGGGAGGATTACTACAGAAGATTGTCTGTGCGCAGGGTGAAGCAACTAAGCTCACTTAAGAGAAAACACCGATCGCTCAGGTTCTATATTAAATTTTGTTAGGTCATCCAGGCTGTGCGCCTCCAACTCAGATCTCGCTTCTGCTTCCTCCTTGCACAACTCCAGGCATAAAACAACAGATTTGCTCTCTTTCTCTCCGGTTGCTACGGCATCATCAGGATGAATTGCTCCAAGCCTAGCAAAACTAGAGCAATGGAGAAAACAATTGCCCAGGAGGGTGCAGCACTCTTCGGAACACTCAGGTGATGTTGGGTAATGAATCCTCGGGGTGGTGACCGCCACGTTGAAATTCGACAGAAGATGGGCACGGGCTTGGAGAAACAAAGCCTCCAACCTGATAGCAAAAGGAACCTAATAGCGATGGCCTCCACCCTAAGAGCGATGGCCCCCACCCTAAGTTCCTTTGTGCGGTTCATTCTTCCTTTTCTCACTGCCTCTCCGCTTCATCTACCGAGTGCCCCAATGTTTCACCATGTTCCGCCTTCCTCTCCCAGTTGTCCTCTTTGAGCACAGTCTCAGAGTCGCAGCGCCTAAGTCTCTTTGAGGCACACTGCGCATTCCGAGACTTGATCACTTCTCTTAATTTCCCTAAAAACATGAGACTTTCAGTTGTCGCTTGGTCCCAGTTTCTGTGTGCGAAAGCTCTCTGCCGAGGTACAACATCGCGAGGTCTGGTCCTTTCCGCAATTCCTTCGGGTCTCCAACTCACCAAAAAGCTTAAAGCTGGACTCGCCTTTGTCCATGAAATAGAGTCCATTCAATTCAAGATTCGGAATGATTAATGATATCCTTCTAAGTCCCACCAAATTGATGATCATACGGAAGCATGAAATTCCTCCTCAGCGCCGGCAGCTTGGGGCCGTGCACCTTGAACAATGGCAGATGAATCATAATGTCCTTGTTGTGATGTGTCCCTCTATTTTCAGGGGAAGGAATGCATGCTGCGCGGTGAACAAGATTGTTTGTAGGTGGCTCAGCTTGCAGAAGTTACTGTGGGCCTTGGAGGACCACCGAAGTGACTCGTGACTAACAAATGGAGCGAAAAATTCCGACCTGCATCTTGAAGGATACGCCTTGGGGTACGGCACACAAACAAATGCAAACATATGCACAAGAATCGTGCTTTGCGAGCGAGTGAACATGAAGAGCTACGCAGGTTCTATCCAATCGAATCGTGTGAAAATACACCAAAAACAAACAGCTGACAGAGTTCAAGTTCAAAAACGTGCAAGGCTGGGTGCAAAAATGGCTGAACATGGCCCATGGCTGAACAGAATTTGTCTGGGATAGCGATCCCATGTGCCAAGGTGCACGTAGAGGATTTCCTTCTCTTTCATTTCAGAGATCCTTGGCCGGTACTTCTATCGCCCAATTAGAACTTGAGGCAACTCTGCCTGTCATGCCTGTCATGCCTGTCTGCTAAATCCAGCTCTGCTTGCCACTTGGAAAATGTTGTGCGATTTATGCAATGCTTTGCCTTGATCGTTGTCTCATGCCGAGCTTGCCTGTCCATTCTCATTTATTTGTTCCATCTTGAACCCAGTCTAGTCCCGACAAGGCCCAGCCGAAGGTCATCTGGAAAAAAAGAAATACAAAATGACAAGTATAAAAACATAAAACATCGAATATAATAGAATTAGATTTGGCTATTTAGAAGCTACGTTCGGGGCTCCTGGCCGTACTACGAACGGAGCAAGAGGACGACACGAACGGAGCGATGGAAGACTCGAGCGCCAAGAATCAAGGTCTCGATAGACCGATCATCCAGGCCATTTACTCCAATGATCCGGTCCCCCGGCTTGACCTTCTGCGCAGTGCTCGCCTCCAGCTAGGAAGAGATAGCTGGACTTACGTAGGACGCTACTAGGGATGCAGGATAGCTCGCGCTATTTGGTTCCTAGACTGTTTAGGAGCAAAATGACAGCGGAAAATATGGTATCGGACAAGTCATGCAAGTCTTTAGATGAGTACCGGTTGTGGCATCCAAAGCATATAATCTCAAAAGTCTTCTTGGAAGAAAGAAACAAACAAAGGTGTCTTTTCTTTCTGTCGTTGTTCCTTTTCTTTCTTTCCAAAAAACAGGGAAGGTCTTAAAGGCAACTTTCGTTGCTCCCAGTGAGAAGTAATGACCAAGAACCTAAAAAGTATTATTGTTGGTTGAGATCTGATCTGCGATCACCTGACCATGGAAGCCTCCGGCCTGGTTCCACTCGTGAAATGCTCCTTCAGGTAGTATTGTGTCCTTAGATCACGAGCAAGTACTGCTCCTTACTTTGCTATACATCTTACCGGAAACTTTCCACACCTTGAATTTCCTACCCCCCTACTGAGCTCTCCCTAGTACGCCAAAAACAACATCATTATACATCATCAACTATTCTTGTTCACAAATAGGATGACAACATAGGATGACAACATTGTTCACAAATCCAACGCTTCCTTTTTTGACGTCTCCGTTTCAACCCTTCAAGTTGCTATATGGAGACCACGGAGGTGCAGCCCCAACGCCCGCCCACAGCGCTCAATCCGTACTGTGAAGGCCTGCCAAAGCGTCTTCGAGTCTTCCATCAATGCTCCTAGTAGCGTCCTCTTGCTCCCAGTAGCGATGCCCTTCCGTACAAATGAACACAAATGGTTATCTTCGTTGGGACCTCGGGCGAGACTCTGGCGTCTCAAGTTCCTTCCTGAATATCCTAGGCCGCTCTTAGGTTGGAGATCGCTCTTTCTGTCTCATGGTGCTTGGACATGAAAACGTGCACCTCGGAAGGAGGTTCGACAGCAGCAGCTTCTATAACTTGCCTGGGAGGAGAAGGCAAGAACCAACAAGGCAACCAGAATCCTATGCTTGATGAATTAGTGCCATGCTACCTCAGCAAGAAACTTGATCATCAATAGAAGCTGTATATGGCCTGTGTGGCTACCTGGCCTGTGTGCCGTTGCCAAAACTAGAAACGGCAACACCTGTCAAGCCCACGATGGGCCGACAGTCCCCAAACTCGACTACCCCAGCGCAATGATGTAGCCAGCGCACTCTATTTGGTTCAATTGCATTGGTATCTGAACGAGTCATCGTATTGTAACACCCTCTTGCTGTCCACTGATGTCGCTGTGTGATCCCAATGGTCCAACTTTGTCAGCCAGACTCAATTGACAAGGAAGCACGGGCACTTTTGATGTAACCATCCGATTGATTCACTGTACACCACCACAGTATGTTGTCATGAACTTCAAAATGCCACCCCACAACACAAAATAGTCAAGTAGCTGAAACTCCAAGTGGTTTCTGACATCCAGTGCTGCCTTCCTGATGGAGCTGCTAGTAGTGATCCAACCACTTCGTCCAGCCTCAGTCGAAGCTTGTGAGTGAAACGGCAGCATCAACTGATAAAACAAAAATTGGACAAACAGATTCTCTTGATTTCTCTTGCGCATTGACAGCATGGATGAATATTGTGCGTTGGAGGGACCACTTGTTCAAAGGTCTTACTTGCAGATTGGTCCGTCACTTGTCAGTCACCAGGTATAGCTTGGAGCAACACTAGGAGTGACCAATCGAGTCTCCATCCAGTGTACTAGTTTGGAGACCCCCAAAGACTCCTGGCAAGGCGAAGAACATCACAAACTTAAAGCCCATGAATCGGTTGGGTGGTCTGACTTTCTTCCCCATTACAATACAAACCCACATCAATCTCCTCTTTTCGCCTGTCCCTATGAATTTCCTTTTGTGGCAAAGGCACCATAGTGCCAGTTTCGACTCGGAGGTGCAATCGCAACTGCTCTTGGTCCACGCGAGATTCTGCAGCAAACGGTCGAATCGCCTGAGGCCGGTGGCAAAGGTCGTTTTCTGCAGCCGAAATGCATCAATCAGAGCAATTGAGCAGGTTGGAGGCCACTAGTCGTAGGTTGGCCATCGCTGCTAGGGTAGAGTTTTGAGATCGAATAAAGTGCATGAGACCACCGAGCCAGCTGTATAGCCAGGTCACTACCACCTGCACCAACTTCCCAGCGCGTAGAACAATGCCCTCGTCAAACCTCACCTTTTCCAATGTTCGGTAAACACCTCCTGAGGCGCCAGCTTTGTCAGACCCAAACCCAAGCTCTATAGTTTACAGCTGGAGTACTGTTGTTCCCAAACAGCCGCCGTCAAGAAAGCAACATGACAATAGTACAAGTTGTAACGAAATGATTACATCATCAATGAAAACAGGTCCAAAGGCTAAGTGGCAAAGAAGCCCAAACGAAACAACCTAGCGGGAGCTCCGCGGGCTTCTTTTCTCCTTGAGCCAAAATGTAGTAGGGACCACCGTGAGAATGACTGTACATGTATAACCCTGCATTTGAGCTGGATTATTTCTGTGCCCCCCTCCTTCGAAAGGGTGGTGTCCACACAAACTTGGCACTCCATCGAAAGTTTGGATCAAGCACTCATCGTGGCCATCGAAAGTGACGATCAGGTCATCGTGGAAAGGCAAGTCAGGCTAGGTTGCTGCGAAAACAAATTATGATATGGACTATGCACGCAAGGCTTGTGTACAAAGAGTTTGGCCATGTATCTCGGGGTGCATTGGCCGCTTCTCCAGTCGCACAAGGGTGACAGTACTTTCTCATTTGTGAGAACTGATCTCATATTCCAACCTAATTTACAAAGGCACGAAAGATACACTTACAGGGCGCGGCAAAGCCAGCAGCACACTGCAAGGGCAACGAACGGCACCTCTGCTTGCAGCTTTGGTTCCTACCAAGGAGCGGCCAAAATGGCCAAGCAACACCTGAACTAATCAAGGTCGGCTCAACAAGGGTCGGATCTATTTCTGGCAATTGTTGCGATTTCTGACATTTGTTGCGATTTCAACTTTTGCTTGGGTCAAAAATTCCTATCATGTCTAAGGCCGATTGCCACTTATTAACTTCCAGGCTCTTAGTGAACACGTCTGCTGCCTGTTGTTCTGTAGGACAGTGCTGAATGCTTATGTCTGGTTCTTTGAAAGCATCATACAACCCTTGAACATTTATCTTGTGTGTTTTACCAAGATGTCTTAGGCGAGCACTGTATCCGTTTCTGCGCACCTGTATAGTGGCAGTGTTGTCCTGATGGCATGTCAAAGGAATTGGTGAATCAAGCAACTGCGACATGAACTCTTGTGCAGGGATTGCATCACTGAACAATGCACTAGCCAATGCAATGGCTTCCGCTTCAGTTGTCGAACGGCTGCAAGCTGTTTGACGTTTGGACTGAAATGTTATAGGAAAGAATGAACCTCCACCAGCGATGGCGAGCAATGACCCTGATGTGGAATATCCGTGGTCTACCTTTGAGGCATGGTCAGCATCCGTGAATAACCACAGACCCCATTCTGCATCTGGATCAAGTTTCAACCTCATCCTATAGTGCTTTGTTCCATTTAGATAGCAAAACACCCTGAACAACCTTCTGTCGTCATTTCTGCTCCACTTGGTAATACGTTTGCTGAGTTCATTCAATGCATGTAGCAAATCTGGACGGCTAAGTCTAGCCAACCAATAGGCTTTCATGATTAGCCTGGCGGCCGAACTCGCAAGACTACCTTGGCTATCCCAATCATCAATAGGAAGTGTACTTTCATCAAGATACGGGGTTGGGGCCTTCTTGAACCCTTTGAACTCTTTGCATTCCTGTTCGTACACTTTGCAGGCGACTTCTGCAAAGTCATGCATGTCTAGCTGCACTTCCCCTTCCTGAATCAAGTGTGTTCTCCCTAGAACCTTTGTGACTTCCTGCGGAGGTTCAAATTGAAGATGCTTCTCCAACTCTGACCAGAAAAATTGATGATTTTCTTTCGGACCTGACACAACAATGTCATCAACGTACAATGTGACCAACAGGCCCCACTTTTTGATGATAAAGTTGGATGGAAATAATGCTGACTCTACACCGTTCATTTGTGTCATCAAGCTTTTGAACTTCAAACCCCAATGCCCCCCTGACTCGGGGTGCCCGTACAACGATTTGTGCAGCTTTGTGCATGGTCTGCGCATCCATTTGAGGTGATCTGGAATCAACTCATCTGGCAGTTCGATGTACGTGTCATGTTCTGTTTGAAGATCACTTTGGATATAAGCTTTGGTAACATCTGATTGAGTCGTTTTGTTTCCTCTCTTCAGTCCGAAGGCTAAATTGATGTTAAGCCCGGCAATTGTAGTGGGAATGATTTTGATTTCTTGAAATTCACTTGCAAGACCAAACTCGTCCCTCACATTGTTGCCAAGAAAAACTATTCTAGCTTTTAGTTTCTTGTCTTTTTCTGATTCTGCATTCTTCCAACTCATAATTGTCATGAGTTTCCCAATCGCAATCTTCGTTCCTGACTTCCTGGATCTGTGTTCGAGCTCGTGCCTCTGGACAACATTCTTGTAATCCCATGTCCCCGCATCTATCAAACCTTGAGCTTCCTTCTTAGCTTCACTGAGTGCTGCAGGGTCGTCCTTCCAGACCTTCCTATCAATCAACTCATGAATGCTAATGGGAATTCCCTCAAGCTCAACTTCTTTTGGGACATGCACTGGATTTTCAGTGATTGACTCGCAACTCATACAAGGCACGAACTTGTGATACAACTCGGGAAACAATGATGAGATGATACCTTCGCACATTTGCATTGGATAGAATGCTGATTTTGGTGTCTTTGATCCGCACAAGTGCACATGTTTATGGCTATGGTCACATGTTTTGGTTCTCAGGCTGCGAACTAAACATTCATCTGTTGATGCTACTGTCCATGGCTTAAATGATTCGCCTCCAACCATGCAACCATTGAAATGCGCAAGCTGAAAGTTGTTTGAGTTGAAGAAATCCTGAAGCTCTGGAATCTGCCAGCCGGAACACCCTGTTGGCCATTCGAAGTGAACCCTGCCACCACGCCTGAGGATTATTGCGGACAACTGGAAGAAAAATTTCAAGAGTTTCTTGCTTTCCAACCTTTTCAACATTAGCTTCCTACGGAATGCTGGACCTAACTTCTTGCAGTTCACGTGTTGCCATCTAGACCAAGGGTTGCATGGTAGTGATCCCCAAAGGTCAACACCGTTCATGGCATCCGAATCCAACACTTCCAATAGCTGAGATTGCACTTCAAGCTCTGAAACCTTTCCGTTGCTTTCTGTCAAACGGATGTGCTTTACTCCTACGGACTCTGAAACCTTTCCAAGATTAGATTGTGGGCTACAACAAAACTCTATCATAACACCATATGCTGGCAACAACTTTTGGGCAAGTCTTTTCTCTTTCTTACCACACTGGATGGGGCGCGGCGAAGCCTGCAGCTCACCATCCTTTGCTTCGACTGCTCCGGCAGGAACGTCCGATGCCTCGGGATGCAGCTGAAAGATTGTAATTGTCTGACCTGTCCAAAATTCCTTGAGTGATTTGTTGTTACCTCTCCAATGCTCATCATGGATTGTTTCCTCGACACCGCTTTCAAAGTACTTAACTTCGGTGGTTCTAGCTCCAAGTCTTTTTGCGCTTACTGGAAGATCTTCAGGCAATAAGGGATTAAAGAGCTTCTTGCGTTTCACATGGTGGAATCGAGTAAGCAGGTCACCTTCAAGCTTCCAAGAATCAACACCTCTTGCAATGCCCTTGGGAAGTGTAAACTTACCCCCCCTGATTAACCCATCAAATCTTTCTCTGCAACTGGATGTATGGATTCCCTTTCCCTTTTCACAAGCTGAACAACCTGGACTGAAACCATATTGCATTAGTCTGGAGAAAGTAATGGCTTCATGTTTGGAATGGACTTTTGGTTCATCCAAAGGATCGTCTGCAAAGATGTCGTCTAATTCTGGTTCAACTTCCTCGCGACTCACCTCTTCTTCCAATGCCCTAACATCATCCTCCAAACGCAGTTTGCACGGCTTCACGCAAGGAAATTTATCTTCACCAGTTTGCACAACAACCATTGTAGTGAGAACTTGAAGACCAGATTTTCCTTCCAACCATGATTTCACATTCTGAACATCACAAACCAAATATGTGCGCTTCCATTGGATCCCTGCCTCAATTCTCCAACCAAGGAACAAACCGGCTGATGTTTTGGCACCGAGTTTGGATTTAGGGGCATTGGGTTTGTAACTGATCAACGCACCAAAAGGAATGTGAAGACCTGGAAATTCATGGTCATGGAGTTTGTCCCAATTGCTAATGGTTGAGGCCGAAGCTGCATAACGAATCGCCAACGGCCATAATTCATTGAAGTTGCCTACTTGTACTAAACAACACCGGGTGACATCCTCGAGAGTGCGAATGGCTCGATTGATGATGGCGGTTTTCCTGTACGGGACGGTTGCATCATACACGAGACCTAGTTGACTTGCTGTCGACTCATACTCAGGAGTATTATCTGCATGAAATTCCACCAATGGACGTTTACCACCAAAATGCTTGAGTGCCTTGACACACTCTTCTGTGCTTTTGGTAGCTGCTGGGTACGCCATTACGATTTTAGTGAAATCATCAAGCAAAACCAGGCATTTCGTTTCTCCTTTCAGCCCTTTCTTAGAACCATCCAACCGATGTTTAGCAACGATGATGTGGTCTGCATGGATCCTATCCCCAAAGCTTTTACTAGGTTTGCTATCGGTTAATACTCGATCACCTTTAACACGCCTAGCAGGAACAGCATCTTGCTTTGCTTCTTGACAAATGGGGCAATCCGCTCTCTTGGGAAGATGTAAAATGGAATGATTCGACGAATGCTCCACAGCCTCTTCGTCTGGCGGCGCTGCTGCGCCTTCTGGTGCTAAGCTTGGCTCATACCCATCAGACTCTTCGTCTAAGGCTTTTGACGAATCACCTAAATCATTCTTTTCATCAACCTCCCCGGGCATATGCAGAATACTCACCCTTTCTTTGAACAATGGGACGTTTTCTCGAACTTCACTGGCGTAAAAGCGGGATGCTTCTGGGCAACTTACCTTTAAGTCCTTAAGGTTACTGGGCTTCACCAGAAATGGCTTTGGCAGCTCAGCGTCCTCAGAAACATCATGGCTATCACGTGGCAACCAAACGAATGCTTTCCCTTGCCGAACTTGATCACCTATGGACAAAGCCCATGGACTGTTTTCCAGCAAGTAGCACTCATCTGACCCAGAAAGTTCACCAACCACTCTACAAGAATTAGATCCATCTCTTCGCCCACCACCTGTTGAGAAAGTAACTGGCAAATTGGATTGTCCAATCATTTCAGGATCAACTTGGCTAACCCCCCCAATGTTGCGGCCAGCACCGGTGTCACCCAACCAAGTTACTTCTCCGGTTGATGCATTGAAGCTGGTAAACGGCACCTCACACGATTGCATTGGCAATGACTGGACCTGATTGTCAGGAGTTGGAATGCCGGGATTACACATCAATGCAAAAGACGTCACAACAGCTTTAACGATCCTTGGGACAACTGCTGAGGCGGCCGATGGCAGGTTTCCTGCAGCAACTGCAAATGCGGCAGCGACACTTGAACTAGCTTTAGGCTTGGCCTTTGACTTAGCTTTGGCGGCTGGGTCATGCACGAATGGGCATGGGTCCCTCCTGCAAGTGCCACTTGGGTAAAACAGGCATGGTGTACCTTTCTCACCCGCAACCACGTCTTTCTTATCCTTATCCCCCTTCTTACCACTAGCTTGGCTTGAGGATGAAGACTTGGGTTTAGGATTGGCTTTTGCCTTGGGCGGAGCCTTTGAAGACGAGGCAGCTGCAACATCAACACTTGTCTTTTCTTTGGACGAATCTGATTTCTCTTTCTTGACTTTCTTATCTTTCTTTTTGTCTTGCTCTGCGGAAGCGGCTGCTGCATCGACTTTAGAGCGAAGAGCATTCAGGATTGATGCGGTATTATGATCATGCTGTGATTCATCAATGCAGTCAATCATGGATTGCCATAACCATTGAAATGATCTGATAGGGTCACCAGCATTTGCTTCTTTGTACCGATCAATTTTCAACGCTAGCTTTGGGACATTCTTTAAGCATTCGTAAATCCAAGTCCTAAGGATTGCTTCACTAGGATACTCCGAAGTTTCGAGGCTTGACAGCACGAATTCAACCCGATCCCTGAAGACTTCCAAATCCTTGATCTCCACACCCTGGGGCTTCAACGCCAGTAGATGTTGCTGACTCAGACTCATTCCACGCTCTTTGTCGAGACGAAACTTTCGGCAAATTCGACCCAACAACAAATGACCCTGCACTTGCTTTCCCAAACGCACACTTCTCTCCTGAAGAGCTTGGAAATCAACCCCAAACCATCCACCTTTTGCAACCTCTAGCAACTTAGATCCTAAGACCCGATTGAGAACTGGAAAAACATCTGATTCTTTTTCTTCACCGACTAGAGGGCCACTGAGCCATGCTAGCAACTCTTTCTCGCTGCTTCTGCAACATGCAACCAGTTGAGAAATCAGTGTATTTTTCCATGTCCTCATCTCTGCAGCTGACTTCGGTAGATTGGGGACTTTGATTTTCTCGTAAGCCTTCAACCGCATTAATTTTCTTTCGTTCTCATACTCGGGGTCATGATCCGATGATGAAGATGAACTTGCAGACACGCTGGATGGAGTAGACTTCCTCTTACTCTTTCCTTTCTTACTCTTACTCATCTCTTCTCTCAAGGTCTGGACTTCCTCCTGAAGAACAGCTAAAACTTGATTGATAGAACCATGGGATTCAGATTGTGCACTGGCCGGCTCATCATCACCGAACAAATCAAAAGATTCGTCACGCTGATGTGTTGGTGGTTTCTGCACTGCTGGTCCCAACCCTGGATTTGCTCCAACCTGACCTCCGCTTGCGGGCAGGGCGCGGAATGAACCGCTGCTCTCTGCCGCTTGCAATCTTCCCACGAGTTCCTGATTGAGACGAGTGAGATGCGCGACCTGATTCTGCAATTCAAGGATAACTGACTCATCCCTGCGTTGAACTTGGTTCCTAGCATCTTCAACCGATTGGGCATGAACCCTTTCTGCATTTTGGATGGTTTCAGCCAACACCCTCTGGTGAATGGTTTCTGCCTCTGCTAAAGTTTGGCTTCTTACGTCACTAGCAACACGGGCACTAACATCTTGGACATGTTCCCTGGATGCTCTGGCCATGTCTTGGACTACATGTTGATGGCGTGATTCAGCTTCAACAATAGCTTCATTCCTAGCTGCTTGACTGGAAACCCTCCGAACTTCATCAACTACTTGGTGATGTCTTGACTCTGCTTCTGCAATTGTGGCACTACGAACTGTATCGGCAAACTGTTGGGCTGCTTCTGGACTAATTCCTACTTGAATGGATCTGGCATCGACTGATCTAGCATCAACAAAGGTTGCACTCTGCGCATGCAAAACCCTCTGACCTTGACCTTGACTGGGATTGGCAAAATCTTGGACCCTACCTACCCTGCTCAATCGATGTTCTTCCTCATCCAAATCAAAAGGGACTAATCTACCAGCTTCCAATCCTGACACATCACTGGCACCATCCGAGGCTTGATACGGACCTAAGGACCTCGACCTGCGGTTTGCTACCCTGTGTTCATCCCTAGCTCTTGGAACCAGGTCACGGTGTCTAGTTGATTGAGATGCATCCCCAACCGAACTCACCATGGATTGGTCGACTGTTGCAACTGCCAAATGCAATTCGCTCGAACCACTGGATGTCTGATTTGTTGACATTGTGTCTTTTGTATGATCTCTTACTCACGCACCCCTTCCACCTGCAATCCCTTTCACTTGCGATCCTTCACCAAACCCGATGGGACTCCTTTTGGCTTCACCTCACGATCCACTTGACCACCAGCTTGATCACGCAACTGCCGAATGATCTCCTCTTTGTGAGTTGCAATTCCAAAATCGCGCCTGACTTCAATCGCAAAGATACCAGAATCCCGGTACTGCCGAACAACCTCTCTCTGATCGTCAATCGCAGCTACCGCACTGAGCTCTTTTGCAAGACTGGCCTTCTGATCGCGATTGTAAATAACAAAGATCACAGGAATGACTGCTGCCAATTCGCTCTGAATCAAAGCCTCAATGTACTCACCACTTGCCGCCTTTCCGATGAAAGAACACGCGCAAAAAGTGAACCCGTTCCTCTGAAGCTCAAAGATAAACGACAGCGTCCCCCGTTCGATCGTCTGGAATTCGCCCCGGTGTTTTGCAAGTCTGATTGAATCTCTCGATGAAAGTCGCTCCGGAAAAATCACCGTCTTATACAGGTCAAGAACCACGCAACCTTTCAAGGACTCAAACAAATCGCTCGCCGAATCAAGATAGAATTCGCCTTGCTCGTCCCGAAACGCAACTTTATTCACAATCACGCTTCCGGAAATCCACCTCGGCAAGTCGAAAACTGCTTGATCAACACCACGTGACACTTCGCTCAGCCGCCTCACTGAGATGTAGTCACTCTCCGTCCCACCAGCTTCGATTACCTCCTTGCTCACTGAAACCTCCTCTTCCGATGAAATCTCTTCAACAAAGGCACTGTCGGGAAAATCAACCAATCGCACCGATGAAGAAGGACCCACTTTCTGAGAAGGTTTCGCTGGTTGATACTTAGCACTAGCGCTCGGCTTAGGCACAGCAACAACCCCGGAACTCGAAGATGACGAATGAATCTGCGGCGCCGCTCCAAGATCAGAAGAAGTTTGAGTCGCGTCCGCGGTACTCAAGATGTTCTCCAACTGATTGCTAAAGCCCTGTGCGAATTGATTCCGACGCTTCTGACGCTTCGCACTCTTGCCGCCCCTCGGTCTCGGACGCCTCGTATGCATTCACTCGTCGACGCGATCAACCAAGCGTATCGAGAAAACTCAAATACCAAAGGATCGGCTGAAGACTTCAGAAATGGCACCGCGCGGGCGAGGGTAAAATGTGAATATATGGAAAGGGAAAGTATGTAGGGGGAAAGCCAGTACGGCTGATAACCCAATGAAAACAGGTCCAAAGGCTAAGTGGCAAAGAAACCCAAACGAAACAACCTAGCGGGAGCTCCGCGGGCTTCTTTTCTCCTTGAGCCAAAATGTAGTAGGGACCACCGTGAGAATGACTGTACATGTATAACCCTGCATTTGAGCTGGATTATTTCTGTGATCATAATACATCAATAATATCGCATCAGTCGCACGCCTATGTCCCATGGATAGTCGCTGGGCCCCACCACTGGTGCTCGTCGAGAGCTACGGCGCGCAGATTCTTTGCAAACGGCCATGTCCAGACAAACCGGCACCGGAAAGGGACTGATCTGTCCTGAGGCTTCGAGACGTCAGATCCCGTCTTAAAGGGTACGTAACAGTTTCTAAGACTGAAGAACGTTGCCTCATCGATCAATATGGTATCCAACGAAACTCGAATCAAGCATGGTGAAAGGTGTGGTCAATGCATGCAACGGTCTTGTGGCCACAATGCCCGCAACGGCTTTGTTGCAATCACTGTCGTCAGTCTTTGCAGTCAAATTAAGGTGTTTTGAAATCATCAAATTCAAGAGAAGCGTTGGAGGATCTAGACAATTCTAACCGTTGCTACTACGAACAAGAACGCCTGCTTCAAAACCACTTGTTACAGTTTCCAAAAGTGTTCTGACATGTTTGGTATCTGAAGCTTGCGTTGCGGCGAAGATGCCCAAAAGCGCATCTTTTCGAAGAAGATTCACGCGATGAAGCAACCTGCACAGGATCAAGGTTAGACGTTCACTGTCTTTCCGGTGTCATGCAAAACTTTAGTTTTCAAGAAAGAACGCAAAAATCTTAGTTTGTTCATGTTTTCCCCCTAATCGCTGATTGGTTTCTTGGACCGTCTGTGAGCATTATGACAAACTTGACAGGAGGGAGGTGGGCGAAAGGTAGGCCGGGGAGGATTTGCGGTGAAAACCAAGATAGAAATTGTAGGTTGGAGGCCATCGCTCTTAGGGTGGACGCCATTGCTATTAGTAACTCCAAAGAATGAAAAACAAGACAACTATATAGTAGCTTCTTGTTACTAGTAGCGATGGCCTCCAACCTACTAGCAATGGCCTCCACCTAATAGCGTCCTAATTGCAATGAGTGTGGAGATGTTTGGAGGCCATGACGATGGGATGTAGACAGAGAGACCTTGACGATCGCACTCGGCACAACGACCAGCAGCATACCTGCATACCGGCAGAAGAGCAGCAAACCGAACATCAACTAAGCATGAGGTCAAGCAAGAGCATGAAAAGCAACATGATTCTGCATAAAGAAGTGAATCATAGGGAAGAACACGAGCGGAAACACGCATAAGGAAGCAAAGGTTCAGGATAAACTTAGAATCAAAATCAGGCTGAAGAGGAGAATGGGTAAGAATGATGTGGATGAATTTCACAGGTTGCTTCAGTTAAGGAGCTGGATATCAGCTAAGCATGGCATGTCTATTCGTTTTGATCTGCGGTCCAGCAGCGGTGGAGCCCCCGGCAACTCAATGGTTAACCATCCAAGAAGTCCACCATCGGTGCGCACCTTGCAGTAAGCGTCACCTCACTTCTAAACACATAAGCATGACTTATTTGTTTCTATAAAAAGCTATTAGAAACAAGGGCATCGCTACTAGTAACAAGTGCCTTACTAGTAGCAACAAGAAGCTAATAGAAACAAGAAGCTGTAATTATACAACTATATATTGTTTAGACGTATTGCAGCCCACGTCACACTTCTTCGTTTCATCTACCTAGTGTTCTTCTAGCTGAGTGTTTAGTGACCTGTAATGATCTGTTCATATCATATCTAAATCAAAGCCTTGGTGAAACTACAACTCCCATCATTGAGGAGAGGCCTTCCCACGCAAGCGTGGCTCTGAGTTGGATTTTGTGACTGCCAGGGCAAGGTCCAGCAAAAGTACCTGACAAACCGAAGTGAAAAGGATTGAAAAGGTTGGGTGGAGGCCATCACTACTAGGGTGGAGGCCATTGCTATTAGGAAAATGCCCAAACCTTCCGCATCCTTCGGGCTCCGAGTTCTACATCTGCCAAAGTGCCTCGTTTGGCTCATCCAACTCGCATAGAGCATCCGTCTCCAAGTCCTTTGCCAATCAAAAGGTCGCGGAAATGACATTCGAGTGATTGGAACATTCAGCACTAAGGCGTTATAAAGACTTTATACACCAGAGTAAATCTTTATAAAGACCTACGTCATTCGGAAATTCTGCTTCGAGCTGCACATTCTGGAGCATCTCGGCCATTTTTAGGAAATGGAGCGAGGGAGAGATGAGACCCTTTACCAGGGGGTCTCCCCGTTCTGAGAAACATGGCAAGAAGCCCCAGCAGTGAAAGGTCACACCTTGGATGACCTAGCTTCGCTTCGCACTTGATTGTCAAGTCATGGGTCGATTGCGCAAAGAGGGACCTAACACATGATAGCGGGTTGACAAAGATTGCAAAATCTGACACATCTTTGTTGTCAATCAGCAGTAGGCAATAAGTGTTTGTCCACACGGTCTACGTACAAGCAGGGTGCCATTACACGATGTTACATTCTGTGATGAGTTGAGCAACCATTGTGATTTCAGGCAATTTGCACCTACCTCTCAATGCTTAAGGAAGAAAGGACGGAAAGGAGAAAGGTCTAAAAGTGAAAATAAATAGAAGATAATAGAAGAAACTGGAAACAAATTGACAAAAGAAAGAGAAGGCTTGCGGCTTTTGGTGGTTTCAAACACTCTGTAGCCAAGTTTCTGCACCAACTCGCAGGACTGGCTTGCCATCCACTTTGTAGCCTCAGCTTATGCAGCGATGAGAACTATGCAGTACGTTTGCAGTATTGGATCTAGCAAACTCGTGACTTTGAAACATCTGGCATTCCGACGCACGCGGTGAGATTTGTTTTGAGATTGAATAGATGTCACAGGGAAGGTTCGGCTCTGGATGTTCGGGCATTTCATCTGGTACAGTAGGTCAGGTTTATGTTCGCCGCTTGCCTCAGGCGCTTGCAAGAGCGCCGTTTGCCGAGCAAGCTGATTCTTCCATGACTGATCTGTGTTCTTGCCCCTGGTGCGCCTTCAGAGAAAGTCGGTGGAGCCGACTTGGCACTGAAGGCATCAGCTATGCTAAACCAAAAGGCTTTGGTGGCAAAGGCGAGCCAGAAGCAGCTCAGAAAGGCCGTCACCCACCACTAAAAAGGTTCGAGGGTGAAGAAAGTGGTGATGTCGGCCTACAGTTGATCTTAAACGACATGCAGCATTGCACGCGTTGCAATGTCTCAATGTCCTACCGGCAGCTTCATTGCTCATACTGCCGAGGGTGGTCGAAAGGGGAGTGCAGTGGACAAAGAAAAGGAGGTCGACCAAAGCTGCGAAGTCAAAGCAAGGACAAGGTGAATTGTCGCAGCGAAAGCTCCAAAGTTGCGGAGAGTCAGGAGAAAGAGTCAGTTCCACCACCAGTACTCCGCGGACCACCAGCTACGGAAGGAGAGGGAACGACAAGCAAAAGCCATGGAATCAGTGACTGCATGGATCCAACAGGTCGAGCAAGTGGGGCAAAAGGAGCAACTGAACTCCTCAAATGTCCTCAGGTTCCAGGCCGAGACAAAAATGCGGACAAATATGAGACAAACATGGATCGCAACGGCGGACCCTGAATGTTCAGTTGACCTTTGCTACTAGGAGCAAAGGGCATCGCTACTAGGAGCAAGGACGCTACTAGGAACAAGTGCCTTACTAGTAAAAACAAGTGTCTTACTAGTAGTAACAAGAAGCTATTAGAAACAAAGGGCATCGCTCCTAGGAGCAAGGACGCTACTAGGGGCAACGGGGCGACCCACTTGACTAGTTGATGCTGAAGGTGCGGTGATGCCGAGAGAGGATTTGGGTGGGTTGGGCCCAAGGACACACAACTAGGTGTTGGTGGGATCCGGCCTTTTGCAAACAAATTGTATAAATAGATATGCATTCTCTGTACGCTGCTAGTTGCTACGTGGATACGGGATGCTTGAACCCACAGGTGCCAATGTGCTTGGCAAACACTCCACGCTGTCTGAGATGCATTCAGGCCATCGCAACTATGCAATGAGTCGCAGCTTCATTTCGACCAAATGCATATATTCAGAACGGCTGGCATCAAACCAGCGCCAATGATGTTGTTGAGGACGCAATCCCTTTGAACAGTTATTAGGAAACAGGCCCAACAGGAAGGTGCCCACAGGCTGGGTGCTGATGGCCTTTAAGATTCAAGATAAAACCAGAAGTTCCTTTAGGACCGCGGCTGCAAATGAGTATTATCCGCAATGTTTGAGCCGAAACTTGCCAATGGTTTCTTACTTGTATAGTTCAGAGTGGTTTTGCAGCATTTACGAAGTGAGTCCCCAAGTGAGTTGGCTCACCCTCACCGGGAAGTCCTTTTTTCCAGGTAAGCGCGAAAGGAAAAATGGGACTGAGCAGCTTGTGAATGTAAGGACAAACTCCTGACTTTGGGCTTGTGCACTCAGCCGCAGAAGTCACGGCGTACTGGGAAAAAATTGCGTTCCCCACTGTAAACGCGACGCCAAGAGGGGGTCCGGCATAGTCCTTGCAAAAACGTTGTTCCCGCATGTAAACGCGATGATTTGTGAATGTTTTTGGTGTGTTCTCCCCAACACAGTTCTCATGTGTTCAAAACAAGGTTCCCGCATGTAACCGCAATCATGTAGAAATGTCACTTATAGCCGTTTTGTGCAAAAACGAGGTTCCCGCATGTAAACGCGACGATTTGGCAATGTTTTTGATGTGTTCTGAAGTTCCATCCGAAGCACAGTTTTCATGCACTCACAACAAGCTTCTGGCACGGAAACGCACTGATTTAGCAATGATGTTAATCTCCTGGTGGTATCTTGTGGTCCCTTGACATCTCTTTGGACCAGGCTCTGGACACTTTACTTGAACCACACAAGTTGCAGAGGTACCGGAGCGAGGATGAATGAGAGGGTGAACGAGGTCAGAACCCGTGCCACCAAGGAAAGCCCTCAGACTGAAAACCTCTAGTATCCTCATCATGTATATGCTCTCGCCCCTGTCCTTCTTTCTTTCCTTCCTTCCTTCCTGTCTCCCCGCTTGTCTGCTGTGATTGTCGTTTTGCCTGCCGCTGCTGCCTTGTCTCCATACTTGTTTCCCCACCTGCCTCCCCACTCGTTTGCCTGTGCGATAGGCGTTTTGCTTGATCGTCGTTTTGCTTGCCGCTGCTGCCTTGTCTTCTCCCAACTAAACGCAACATCGCCACGACTTCTATAGATTCAGATCCCCAAGTAAACGCTTCAAAAATTGAATGCCACGACTTCAACATTTGAGAGTACATCTGGAAAGCCTTCTGTTTCAAAGGCCAACCCAAATCCCAAAAAATAAACCCCTAGCCTTGCCTGGACTGAAGAACTAGAATCTTGGCAGTCTATGAATCTCAATTCAAAGGCGTACATTTGTTCACCCAATCACTGGAAGCGAGCAAAACGCTGTGTTTGGCACCACAGGTAGTCTGAAAATGGCTATGCTCAGTGGTGGTGGGCAGGAAAAACTCAGGATGAAATGAAAGGGAAGTAAAGGAAAAAAAGGAATAAACTAAACATGAATGGTCCAAAGGTCTAAAGAACAAAATAACCAAACAAACGAGAAACAAAGGTCACATAAATTCACATAACATATGTTTAAAACATGATGTTCATCAAATGCATCAAATTAGACCATAGCATCGCGCCCGCCAAGCCCCGCTTCGCCAAGCGACAACCTCCCGTCTCCCAGCTCTGCAGGGCCCGTCGGCCCAGCTTTGGCCCATCCTTTGGGTGCCAAAGCTGTCCCCAACCACAAAGCGGCCTCCACGGCTGGAAAAAAAAATACCAAAAGGACCAAAAGCGTCAGTATATGCTCAAATAGCCTTTTATTGAGTTTATCTTAGGTCATTTATCTTGACAATATAGTATATGCTTTCATGTTGCTTTCGTAAAAGGGAGCAGTCGTATGCTTTTGTTTTGCATCTCACTTGAATTAGTCGAAATCCACCCATGTCCGCCTGCCATCATTTCTCTTGGGGTCGATGTTGGTGTCCGCCAGGTAACCTATGATGACCTCAGTTAACCAATCTGGTAGCCCCGATGTTTTCCGACAGCGACAATTACAAGAAGAGATAGTGAGATAGTCAAATAGATCGTCAAGCACCAGCTTGCTGGCTTGCCGCCTCTTCGGCATCATCTTGAACAACACGAACTGCCATTACCTCGACGTTCGAAAACGTTCAAAAGCACACATGTGAGCACCTGCAAGGTTATACTAGTGTTATTGATAGGTCGATTGTTGCGATGTTGCCTAACAGGTTCCCATACTGTACTGGTAAGACTCCTTGCTCCAGAAATCTGAACAAACTCTTCCTGGGAATTCCATGGAATTCCTGGAGGCATGTTAAATGTTTATATAAGTCTTGCATCGCACAAGTTGCACAAGCCCAGATTTCTTGAAAGTCAACAGTTTCAAAAAAACACAACAAAAACGGGAATCTCAAAGACATACAGCTAGTGACTCTGGCCCTACCCCTTGCCAGGGCCAGATACTTCCCTGCCAAAGCACCAACACGATAGTCTGTGGTGTCAACTTCAAAACGTTGCCAGGTGAATCTGTACGATGGATCAAGTCCACCGGCCGCATGACCTGACACATGCGGATGTTTGCATCAGTAGATCAATGAAGGCGAGTCCAGCACACAAGAGTTGAAAAACTGGCTCGGACCATATCCGACTTGTAACAAGCAGTTTTTGTCCACGTTGGTCCACGTGTAACGGTCAGTCTTTATGCAAGTCAAGTGCGGTGTCTCAATTAGAGCAGTACAACAATAGTTTGTTCATGTTCTTCTGCAGACTGAGACATGTTGTTGAGAATTCTGCTTTGAGGCACCCAAGTTGTGCTGTTCAACTCTACCTACGAGACCTCAACATCAGCGCGTTCAGACTGTAGTCTCGGGGGCTTGGTATGCCTTCGTAGGTGAGTGCTCCTTGGCACCAACACCATCTGCCGGAGCAGTTGTGAGGGCATATGCTTTGGGCGGCGAGTGGGACCTCATGTCGATGCCCATTGCCTCAGTGTCCTCGTCAATGCGCAGCATACGTGTTCTCTTCAACAGGAAGAAGGTCACACCTGAGAGCAGGCCGGCCCAAACGATGATCATCAGGATCATGACAATGTTTGCTGCAATAGCAGTGCCTCCCATGTTTGAGCGGCAGCTTCCATTTGCTGCCATGCAAGACCAGCCGGACCATCCATGGTAGTAGTTCAAACCCTTGCCCCAATCGAAAAAGCTGGCTGCCAGTACACCCCAAATGCCACAGAAGCCGTGGACGGGGCTGGCGTCCACAGGGTCATCAATCTTCAGCTTGACCAACAAGGTAGAAGCACCTTGATACACGAGGGCACCCACAAGGCCGGTCGCGAAGGCACAGCCACATTCCATATTCCCACACCCGGCTGTGATGGACACCAAACCAGCCAAAATGCCATTGCAAAGTCCGCCGACATCATATTTCTTGGTAATAAAGGCCCGGATCAAGAAGACAAAAATACCTCCAGTAGCGGCAGAGATGGTGGTGTTCATGGCCACCTGTGCTGCCAATGCTCCGGTGGTGCCGCTTGACATGCCCAAGGTTGAGCCGGGGTTGAAGCCGTACCAGCCGAACCAAAGGGCAAAGGTTCCAAACACCACGAGGGGAAGGTTGTGTGCCTGGAATTCGGAAAAGTCGAAAGGATTCCAAGATGCCAAAAGGTCTAAGAAACAACATGTGTGTCATCATTTGTGTCACTAAAGCTCTGGTTCTAGTTTCTCTTTTCCTTTCTTTTTGTGTCACGCTGTGAGCCTCGAATTCCTCGGGATTTTCGAAGCGACCTTTGCGCGGGCCCAAGACCGCAGTCCCAGCCAAGGCAGAGACCCCACCCGTCAGGTGCACAACGCCACTTCCCGCAAAGTCCATGAAGCCCACCTGACGGGTCATTTGGCCGCTAGTAGAAACACGCAACAAGCTGCAATACTTTAAAAGCATTTGCAGCGGCATTTGCAAAGCTCAAAAACAAACATGTTCGACACACTTTTCGCGCCCACTTGCATATTATCCATCAGTCATTGAAATTGAGTTCCATGTCATTGGTTTTAATATGTTTTAATGGTGTCTGTTTCAGGGTAATGTTGGCAAACACCCCACGTCGAAGACAGTTGAAAGCCATCCGTAGCCCCAAGTCCAGGCAACGATCACCGGGTAGATGAAGGCACTCATGACAAAGGCATATGCGGCGTAGGTGGGACTCTTCACTCGCTCAGCAACACCACCACTGACGATAGTGGCACCAGCAGTGCAGAATGCCTCAAAACATGTTGCAAAAGCTCAACATCAAGCCGTGTGAAGACATGTTAAGAAGCAAAGAAATACATGAAACAACAAATAGACGATACAATGATGCGAACTGAAATTAGATAAAGGAACCCATTGGAAAAACCAAGACAGCATTGTGCTTTGACAGCCATCTGCGGTGCACTGAACTGGTGTGATATTTCCTGTCGTCTCATCCTGGGTATAGAAGCCGATGCCAAAGAAGCCGCTGGCACCGATGAAGCCATTGGTTTGTGCTTCTGCTCCATATGCAAAGGCCCAGCCAAGGGACCACCAGCCAAGAGTGCCCACACAAACGTTCACCAAGTTCTTCATCAAAACGTTAGAGGCATTCTTGGCCCGGCAGCACCCTGTCTCCAACATGCCGAAGCCGGCGTGCATGAACATCACCAATGCACCGCAAAGGCAAAGCCAAGCGGAATCCAAGGCACCGACCATACCATTTTGAAGCCCAGCGATGGTCGCAATTTCTGTATCGTATTGCGTCTGAGTCAATTGCAGCCTGCGGCTGCCTGAAAAGTCATCCAATTTCACTCGTTGAGCCTCAATGAGTTGCTGCTGTTCTGCCACAGCTTGCTTCAGCAGACTCAGCTCTTGGAAAAGCTCAGCTTCGTTTTGCTCTCCAAGAGCCCCGGAAAAGACTGCCACAGCAAGAAGTCGAAGCATCACTCTTCGTCGATCAGGTAGGACTGGAAGAACTGTTCCGCGCAACGTTGCTCCACAACAGAGGCCCGTGAGTCCTTGAGCCAATATGAGCCAAAGTCGAAGCGAGATGCAAAGTCAGCAAACCTGTCAATGAGAACTGTGGCTTTGCTAATCAATGGTTAATGAAGTGACTCACACACAGTTCATGCAAGCCATGATGATTCGATGATGATTCGATGATGATGATGATGATGATGATGATGATGATGATGATGATGATGATGATGATGATGATGATCAGGATGATGATCAGGATGAGGAGGAGGAGGATACTCAGAAAACCGTGCCATTCTTGCACCATACTGTCCAGTGCCTCGTAGCGTCCGCCCACATGCCAAGGAGGCCACTCGGCATCTTCTGGGGAAAAGTAGTTCAGAAGCCTCGAACATGCGCGTCAAGGTTGCCAGTTGAAAAACTAACCACACATAACTTACGTGACACCGTGATCACCCACCATGATGCTGCAAGATACAGCATTTGTGCATGAAATTTACAGGGAAAACTGTTGAATGGCAAGACCCAACATGCGTGTGCTGTGTGAAGTTTGCTGCCTCTGCATGACTTGACACGTTGCTGTGGCAGTCTACCGGCATGGCCGCTGGAAAATCGGTTGTTGCAAGCAGCGTCGCTGACAGCTGCAATATGCTGCAATCTGTGTATTAAGACAGTGGAATCATGTGCAATTTGCAATCATGGCATCATTCAATTCTAGCACGTCGTTCATTGTGACATTGTGGTTGCCGTCAGTCTGAACCGGTGTCCGTGTCCAATTGCCATTCTGTGCAACACGATTTTGTCTCCGACTTGCAAATGCCTTTCTTGTCTGCCATTGCTATCGAAAGCTCTGAAACTTATCACAGACATATCGGCAGGAATGACTCGATAATCGTCAATTCCAAACTAGTATTTTGGCAAAATGTTCTGCCTCAAAGCAAAAAAGGCAGCTTGACCCGTGATCATGACGAATGTTTGCAGCAGCGTGTCTGTACCAAAGGCCTGCTCTCCACGTCGACTACCAAAAGTCAGCAAGAAACCAAAGTCCGATGAAGTCCGAATGGCCGGATATGCCTGGTATCTCCTATCCTTGCGTTGCCTTCTTGTGCAACAAGTGCCATCAAGTGCCTTTACATATACATTTTCTCGCATCATAAACCTAAATCACCAACAGTTGGGCATCAATCTAAACAATGGCACCCTCGCAAATTCACCAACAAGTGTCGTGCCTCTGCCAATCAACGCGGTCCTGAAAAGTGTGAGCCTTGTCAATGTGCCACGTGAGCACACCAACAGGGCAATACGTCGGCATGACACACATCATGTGTCCAAGTGTGCGCTGACACGCAACGCCAAACAAAAGAAACAAACATGCTGCCGAACCCGCTCTGCACTCTACAAGTCAGCACGACAGCATGACCCGACTTCAGCATCTCAGCGTGACAGCACGTCAGCATGACAACGTGACCCATGCCAGCGTGCGAGCATGACATGTCAAAGTCAGCTGTCGGCATGGCACCTCAACCAGAGAGACACAGCGTACAGTATCTGCCTGTTGAAGCTCCTCGGCCTCCTCTCCAGCCTCGTGGAACCTGCTCCGGCACTTGCTCCCCAACTTGCTCGGGAATGGTTCCAGGGCTTCGTCTGGAACCTGCTCTGGGAACTCGCCCCGGATCATGCTCCGGAACCTCCTCCAGAACTTGCTCCAGAACCTAAGCCAGAACCTACTGCGGGACCTCCGATCTGCTCCAAAGCCTTTACTATGGCTGAAGACCCCCAGCACGGTGAGTGTTTTTGAGCTTCTAAAATGGTTTGCCTTTGAGTTCGTCCTACAGAATGCAAATCCGATTGGGCATGGGGTTGGTTATTGGGAAGGGTGGGATAGGGTAAGAGGAAGCAGAGTAGTAAATCTAGCAATGCCAACTAGGAACACAGGAGGTCGCCTTCGGCATGATGAAGAAACGGTTCCTAGGAAGTTGCCTAATAGCATCCAATAGCTCTCATGAGGACACGGTTTTTTCCTCTTCCGCCACGCCACACGATTGGTGCTTGGCTGTGATGTCCACACACGTCTGTGACAGAGAGCGTGGCATCTGCCACTTGATGCCTTGCCTATAAAAAGTGTAAGGCTGCGCACTGCAAAATTAGCAAAATCAGCTTCCAAACACCTCCACAATCCATGTCCCCTGTTTCAAAGCAGCTCCATTGCATGTTCACACAGTGCAATTACAAATTGCAGTGGATGAAATCCAAATGTGGGCAAGCGCTGCGCTGGCATGGCGGCGTCTGGTAAGACACGGAGTTTCCATTCCTCCAACTCTGAGCAGAATGTCCATCAATCTGCAGCGCCAAAGATGGCATGGCTGACAAAGCAGGAGGCCACCAACAGTATTTCCCATATGCTCCTCACATATTTCTGCACAACAGCCATATTGTCAGAACTTCTAGCTTTCTTCCTAATCAGACCTGTGACTTTCGGACATCCAATCCTCACAAAAGCTGTTGTACCAACAAACCAACAACCTTCGTACACCCTCGCAGTTAATTCCAAATTCCGCCTCTTGCTGCTATGTTGCCAAGCCACTGCAACACCAGCCAAATCCCTTCAGCATTTGGCTGAGCGTGCTATGGCATTGCAGTTGATTAAATAGCACAGCTCGACTATGAAATCGATAGGAAACCCATATTTGCAGCAATCCGACGCATGCTGAGTCAGTCAAAAGTTGCATTTTGACATCTTAGAGCATTCTCTGTTTCATTGCTTGAACCTTGATGCTTTCTTTCTAGTTGTGGGCATTGAGCGCGCATGCTCTGAATCAGCAGCTTCTCATCCACCACTACTGCTACTTGTAAAAACCGAGAGCCACCACGGATGCTAAGCAGGAGCCCTCAGCATTTGGCTCAGCGTTTGGTGGTTCCAACCTGGATGAGATAGAAAATGGCTTTCCGTTATGTATGCAGGGCAAGTTGGGTGGCCACATGATCTCATGATAAAAAGCCACTGTATATAGCTTACAGTTCTCATGGGACTCTCGAGATCTAGGCAATACGGTCAGTGACGAGCAGTCAAAATCAAGTGCCTTCTGCTTTGTCTCCTTGATGATATCCTGGCAGACTGGAAAGAAATGCCGGACGCATTGAATTGATTTCCATTGATTTCAAGGCATCAATGGTTTCAATTCTGAAGCTTTGCTCTGCCTCTTCGCTCATGAAAAATTGCATAATGCCACCAAAGCCGCCGACGCCTCAAGGTAAAGGTAAGCGACAGGAAAAATGCCGAAGGAAAACTGCAAGGAAGGACTGGCTAAGATATGAACCAACAAGCCCAGCAATCTCCTGACAAATTGAAGAGGCAGCGTTCTGATGCTCAAGTCACAACTCGCTCGCATAATCGCTTCCTTTAAGCCCTGCAGAAGCGTCTCCCCGCGCTGCTGAGACTCTTCCAAGGACCTGAATCGGGGGTGTCTTGGTGCTGGTCATGCTACTTCTTCATCACCGTTGGACCAAGCCAGGACAAAATGAGTTTTGGTTGGAACGAAAACTTGTCACTCAATGCAGGCGGAAAGAGTCAGCCAAGTGACGTCTCAAGCTCCGCGATCTCGATTTTGGCCTTGGCAAAGTGACTTCTACATTCTCAAAGTTTGACTCCGTGCAACTTAGCTCAAAGCCTTTTCAAGTGCCTTTGCCTCAAATCAGCATACCAGCAGACCCTGAAATAGAAAAGCACTTACTTCGTTACTCTTCGTTGCTTCGTTAAACCATAATACGGTTGTACTTCGTTCTTCCGTTTTGGTTGGACGGAGGTTGATGGATGTTGAGAGTTCAACAGCTTGAGCGTTCAGCCGAAGTGTTCCGTTCGCCGTTCGCCCAAGTTCGGCGGCTGTAACAGGCCCTCTCCCGTTGGGCGGCCGTTTTAGGGAAGGACGAGTTAGTGGGACGAAGCATTCCCAAAGGAATTTCCAAACATGCTCCAATGTGATGGTGCTGCGCATTTTGTGAGGTCACTTTGCGCCTCGTGTTCTGGTGATCTTTGGGCCGGCCATTGAGAGCTCTTGAACCGCTTGCCTCGAAGGTGTGCTTTTGCGACTGTCCAAATCATTCCGAACGCGTGGCGCGGTGCAATTTGGCAATTTGCTGGACATTTCAAGGTGTGGCATAGTCACTTTCGTGGCAAGCGCGGTATTTTGTGCGTGTTGGAGGTGCTGGGAGGCAGTTTGTGTGGCAGGTGCAGGGGATCATGAGATTGCGACGTCTGATGCAGGTGAATGTTGCTATTGGGATCGGCATGTCAGCGGCTGCTCTTTCGAGGGGCTTGGATTGCGGGCTTGGATTGCACAACTGCTTGGCAGGGCAGCGTGATTAAGTTTGCTCTGATGGGGCTCCCCGCTTCATTCTTAGAGGAGGTCTAATACGCATCGAAATGCTCGTTTTGGAGATGTCTCACTTTGACTTTCGGAGGAGGTCTCGTACGAAATGCTTGCTTTGAAGGCTTGACTTGACGCGACACTTGTGGACGAAGTCTCATACAAAATGTTCGTTTTGGAGACTTGACGGGTCACTTTTGGAGGCAACTTGACGCGTCACTCTTGCAGGAAGTCTCGTGCGACATGAAGTCTCGTGCGAAATGCTCGTTTTGACAGCTCGATTTGAAGGCAACGTTATCTTCAAAACGCGTCGCGCAAAAGTGTCCAGCAAGAGTGTCGCACACGAGTGTACAATGTTTGGCCGTTTGTGTTTGCCGCATTCAGGTTCGTGGGCCTCTTTTAGAGTCGGGGATGCAGTGGCGGCCGTGAGGAGGTAGCCTAAGAAGTAAGCTACTGTAAGTAGAAAGTTTTAGTAGCCACTGCCGATTGGCAGAAGGGCTCAGGCTTCATGATTTGGCTCCTAGATGTCCTTTCAGGCTTCTGATTTGGCTTCTAAGATGAAAAGTCTAATAGCAATGGCCTCCAACTTATTAGCAATAGCGA